CCTAGGGATCACGAGATTGTTGGTGTATTGAATGTTTGTTGTTGATTGCTTGTGATGCACATACTTAGATTCCTGCTACCTATTTATTTGTCTGTGAGAAGAATCAAGGTTCTTTTGGTCGGGCGTGTTACAGGAGAACTGAAGACATTTGGCGGATTAAGACCTTTTATTGTACATTAATAATTTACTGTGTTTTCGGATGTAATTGTTTTACCTAACTTTTGAACTTGTTTGTTCATATCATTATTTCAGACATTTTGGTTTGTCTTTGGTTTGGTATTTGGGAGTTTTGATCCAGGAACCTACAAAATTGAAGGTTTGTTTTGTAATTGTTATAATTATTGTTGTTAGAACGACATTTGGTCGATTATTTGTGAATTACGAATAGCTTTGGTATCTAAATTGGAGCTTGGTTCTGTTGTTAATTTGGGTTCGTAATTTGCAAGTAGATCGATAGTCCGTACTTCAATAACTAGAACGAGCGAAACTTGGACGTAACAGTAAGCCCCTTCTATATGTAGATGATCTTAAAGTATTATATTCATTTTCTCCACATGAGCTGAAAATTTACACTTCGTATTCTTGCAGCTGATTGTACCATAACTTATAATTCTAGATGTAATAAACTTGAGCTAGACCCTTTATGGAAGAGGAGACTCAAACTAAATCGCATCTTCTTCTGCAAACTACTTATTAAACTATCCTTTACATCCAACCACGTGATTCAATATGCAGAAACTTCTCATTGTGAAATCCGTAGCTCCTTGTCACCAGTGAAATGAACTTATTCTAAATCATCTCTTTATATGAATTACTTCACCTGTAAACTTTCCAGACTCTGGAATAATCTACCACAATCTATCCGTACGATAAAATCACCTCCATTATTTGTTCTCTACATCGATGCATATTGCTACTCTGAAAATGCATTGAATGTTCTAGCACCTGTGAGTGTATCTCATTCCACAAGTGATATTTTAGGAACTTTAGATGTTTAGCCATTCTTATTAGTGAATTCCCTAAGCAAAACCACCTACATGGTACCACTTTATGTTAACACCGTCCTGAGCAAGTTTAATTAATTTGAATAACATAATCAGTATATCACTGTGTCACATGACGCACGCATTTTGGTAGACCTAATTGACATGTTTTGGTAATTACTGCTTTGTTGTTCCGTGCTTTTTGTTTTCGTTTTAATTTCTCGAATTTTAGATAATTATCATTAATTCGCTCTGGCACACGAAATGACCTAAATTACCCCGTTCATAAATCAACAGGCTGTCCATGTAAGAAAAGTTAAGAAATCCCAGCTGATGCATTGGATCGCTGTAATACATGTACAACCTAGAAAATTACTGAACTAGTATACTTAAAACTTTCTTCTATCCCATGTTTGTTTTGTACATCCAATTTTCCTCTTTATATCAAATTGATCATGCCTGTAAGCTGGCGTGAATTCCGTTATTATTGCTTTCAGAATATATAAATTATTACTATTATTATTATACGTAGTAAGCGATCAAGACAATAGAATTTACTCAGCGAGGAAAAATACCATTGTCCTTTTAATTAGCGACCTGGCATAAATTAGTGTGATTTTGATCTCATATATTTAGAGAATGAATGGTTTCACATGTATTTTTCATGTCGTACTATGTAATTGAAGTTGAACATTATTATTGTTTCTGTAAACTCAAACTGAAACTGAAATTTATGATGACCTTGATACGCGGTTTTTTGAACAATTCGTTACACTGTGTAGTTCTGATTTTCCTACTTTGTACAGATTTAAGCAAAATGCGGTTAGCTTGTCGGTTTTTATGTGAACGCTTTCAAATGAAAATGAGGATTTTGTTGAGTTAATTTTAATATATCCTCACATTTTATTTATATTTCACATTGCTTTTGAAATGTAATTATAGGTATTTTTCTTACCTTTCCAAACAATCCACAACCTTTTTGTGTGAAAAGAACAGTGTATTAAAAGTCTAAGCCTCTCTTGTTATGGATTTACTATTGTTGGTCCTTGTATGGTATATCAGGGGCTGTGGACGGCTTTCAATAACGTGAATATAGTCCGCCTCAAACCTGCGAAAAAACTATAAATTTCAGCCTAGGCTAGGAGTCTTTTCACATAATCTAAAACGCTTGTTATTTGTTGTACAGTTTTTGATTGTATCTGAGCAAGTCATGGCTTTTCCTTTTACACATCAGAAAATGTGACATGAATTCTCGGTCGGCGAGACTCTAATTTAGGGACGAGCCAATCAGAAGCGTTTGAGCAATTTCAAGGTCACGGAGCCAAGTTCAACAGGCGCTGCTAACATACGATCGCTTCACAGCGGATTTTAGAGAGTAGGTGATTAATGAGAAGTTACAACAGATGGGACGGCGAAACTCTATTTTAGGGACGAGCCAATGAGAAGCGTTTGAGCAATTTCAATTATTAGCCAATCAGAAGACAGTATAAAGTAAAAATATATTAGAAGAAAGTAATGAATTACAGTGGATATTCTTCTTTTACATGATTTAAAAACCTGTTGAGGTTTGATAAAGACTCAGAAGTTCTGAATTCATAATGCATATTGTATAGAAACTCGTCCATAGGGTTAGGGTTTGGGGTTAAAATTAGGGTTAAGGGTTAGGGTTTAGGGTTAGGGTTAGATTAGGATTTAGGGTTAGGTTAAGGTTAGGGTTAGATTAGGGTTTAGGGTTAGGTTAAGGTTAGGGTTAGATTAGGGTTTAGGGTTAGGTTAAGGTTAGGGTTAGATTAGGGTTTAGGGTTAGGTTAAGGTTAGGGTTAGATTAGGGTTTAGGGTTAGGTTAAGATTAGGGTTAGATTAGGATTTAGGGTTAGGTTAAGGTTAGGGTTAGATTAGGGTTTAGGGTTAGGTTAAGGTTAGGGTTAGATTAGGATTTAGGGTTAGGTTAAGGTTAGGGTTAGATTAGGGTTTAGTGTTAAGGTTAGGGTTAGATTAGGATTTAGGGTTAGGTTAAGATTAGGGTTAGGTTAAGGTTAGGGTTAGGTTAGGGTTTAGGGTTAGGTTAAGGTTAAGGTTAGGTTAGGATTAGGGTGCTAACATGCGATCGGTTTACATCGGATTTTAGAGATGTATCTACTTACAGGCTACAACCCTAACCACTAACCCTATGGACGAGTTTCTATACAATATGCATTATGAATTCAGAGCCTCTGAACCTTTATCAGACCTTAACAAGTTTTTAAATCATGTAAAAGAAGAATATCCACTGTAATTCATTACTTACTTATAATATATTCTCACTTTATACTATCTGTCTTCTGATTGGCTAATAATTGTCAAGGTCACTTAAAATTCGTTCAAAGGTCGTCCTTAAATTAGAGTCTCGCCTCTTGGTCAGTTAAATCACTGAAGCTGTTTTTAGTCCTAATTACTCAGGCAAACTACATAATATTTACGACAATGACTGAAAACGCTAGGTTATACAGTTTCCGGCCCTTAACTAAACATATGTTTCCCAACTCTTTTTCTCTTGTATTTACTTTCTTTGAAGATGTTTAAACGGTATTTGTATCCTAGGATATAACTTAGAAAGACCTAGTGTTATGTAAATCACTGCGCTATTGTCAGATATTTCTCTGGTTTTGCAGATCATGAGCTTAGAGTATCTCTTGAGGTTTCCTATAATTGGATCTTCTGCATATTCCGAAGGTATCCCTCCATTTCGAGATGAACACTCGTGATTCGTTAATACTCTTCTAGCTTCTCGAGGCTTGAAGTGTAGTTTGGAATACTTTAATAGCAAAATCGCTGATCTTCTGTTCATTCTTAAACTTTTCCCACATAAAGAGGTAGATTCCCTTCAATATTTTTGTGCCATTAAAAAAACGCTTTTGTGTTCGATACTTTTCGATGTGAGACGTGTGGTTATTCCACCATCATTTTTCGAAAAATAAGTCAACTTCCAAGATCATAGTTTTGAATGAGCCTTGGTGCTAGATTTTTCAAATAAAATCTGGACAACATTTAGTAGAGTTGGAGTGGTGATGGAAAGTAGTTTCAAATTTTTCTAGATTTCCTTAAAATATCAATAATTTATAAGATTTTTGACGCCTCTAGTTTCTCAGAGAAGTTTAGGATTTCATTCGAGCTTCCCAATCTCTTTTAATTTTAGACGATGAAACCTACTTTACAAGTAAACTGAACTTCTTACCGAACGTTTTGTTTAGGATCTAGTTATATCCTCCTACTGCCCGTATATGAGTTCGGACTGACGAACTACTGGTTGGATGACGAGTAATTCAGTTAATTGTCTGCTTGTCCATACTGCGAGTTAGCATGTCGGACAGCTTAAAATTAATCTAGAAACAACAGGTACTTCTAGTTTTCACTTTTATTCACACCTCACACTGGATTTTGGCAAATTCACTTATCTCCTTTTATACATAACCTTGTTTACTTCAGTATCTACTGTAATCTCTCTGGTTTCTGTGCCGTTTTATCACCCAAAGTGAAACCATTGGGATCGAATACAGCCTAGTTTATCACCAGCATATAATAAATCGGGTTGATTACAAATAACACTGAAAAACTAGTTTTTTCTAATTTGAATTTGTCTTGTGACTTCACAAACTAGTTTTTTTGCAGGAGACATTCTTGATTGTTACAACAACAAGTTAGGTGTATGATGTTTTATAAGGTAACTTTAGTATACTGATATGTAGCGTTTCATGTTTAATTATGATGACGTCTTAAAAATTTCGGTGGTGTGTTTTTAATTTTTGTTTCTGTAGATAACAACTTTAAATCGGCTACAAGTCTTCCTAAAGTACTACAACAAAATGAATTTATCCTGTATTATCCTATTAATTTTGGCATGTATGCCAAGAGTTTGCATTTACGGCAAAAGGTATCAAATAATCCATTTTAGAGCACGTTTGCATCAATCACTTTTTCAGATATTTATTTTATGATGTGTTTTATGGAGAAGGTTTCAATTTGAAACGTGATGTTTATATTCGGATTGCCAATACAGTACGGTAGGTGTGATTTTTAAAAAATACAAAATGCATACAATAACAACACAATATATTTAATAAGTACGGAATTTCGCACCTCACTTTAAACTATACATTGTTTCTCAATAGGTGTAAATAATTGTGTCCACATGCCTAAATCCAATTAGACAAGACTGGGTTTGAACTCTTAAATCGGTTGTTCAAGGTTCAGTTGTCCGACGATTAAGCTGTCGTTTCAGATAGTGATGTATTTATTATCACTAGTAAGATTACATAATTCAAAATATATTACAAAACAAATTTAATTTTTGTGTTCAAATAACTTCCTTTTTTAATTTCTCGCAAACATGACTATAGGTTGTTAAACTTTGATATTAGTTTGTTCACTTATCCGTTATATGTTGTCTCTGTTTATCGTGACGTAAATTGCAAGTGTGTTTATAGATTTATGACAACACAAATGTAAGTAAGGATCCTCTAATGGAAGTTTCGGCTTCAGAAAGCTGTTTTATTTCCACTCAGTGTTTGGATAGGGAATTAAATGTCGGAGTTTTTGTTAGTTTACTAATGCAGTGGTACTTCATCCTATTAGTTGCTTTTAGAGTAACTCAGTAGTATGAAGATAATTTATTCACAGTGCTTAATGTGTATTAGTTATTTGCATTGTTTTCATTATTATACACTGAATATGTTAACCTGGCACATCAAAAAAAGCAATTAAGGAACAGTGGTGGAAACTAAACTATGATTCGAAAATTTAGTATGACGTGTTTTATTTAAAGTTCATGACGGAACTAATGTACAAAATACTAGTTTATTTACCCAGCTTTGTGGGCCGCTGTAAGTTCTGGTGGTACTCCTTAACTACCCAAAGCAATAAAAAGAGGGAATAGGGTTTGAACATAGGATCTGTTGATGCTTCATCCAGTAAACTTCCATTTTGAAGTTTACACTAGTTATCGTAACGGATATTTGACTCGTTTCTTGTACTTTATAGACTTGCGTCAACTTCGTATAACGTTATTTATTATCTGAAGGAGCGACTTGTTGTTGGTTAGTTTGACTTTCTAAGAGAAAATAGCGTGTACGAAATTTATTTTCTTGAGTTCTGTCTCTATAAATTCATAGGAGCTTACCCTTCACACAACTTCGGATCACACGCCGATTAGGAAAGGTAATGAGAAGTTCGGCCTAATAGAACGTTTTTTTAGAGATCTCGAATGTCTGTTTTTCAGTATTTTTGCCGCAGTATCTTCTTTAAAATAACTGTTCATGAAGAAAGTCTTCTTTGATGCTGTGGAAACTCTTTCACATCGTTGTTTTGGCTTCAGACTTTTTTCGATGAATCTAGGTGGATATCCATTGTTGATCAGTGTCTGCCTTAGTGTACCGATTTTGGTATCGATTGTATCCTCGGTGCGGATGCGTCTCATCCTTGAACAGAGAGAATGGATCAGGTTTCTCTTTTGCTTCAGTGAGAATTAACTGAAAATTCGTGTATTGACCATTCGATGTCGGCTTTCTGTATATCATTCTTTGTAGGGAACCGTCAGGTCTCATTTTTACCGAAACATCTAAGGAGTAAAATTCTGAGTCCGACTCTGATTTCGTCGTGAACTTAATTGATTTATGACAGTCATTGAACGCGTCCAGAATGTCTTTGACATTGACATTTTTCTCACAAATAATGAAAGTGTCGTCTAAGTATCTCTTGCATAGATAGAAGCTTTCAATTATTTGTCCAAGTATAGTGTTTTTTAATTGACATTAGTCGTTTCATTTTAATTGTGTGAGGGCTATGATACTGCTCAGGTGCCTAGACCAAAGCAGGTGGTTTTCGTAGGGGGCCACACCTCGAGCCTTTGACCTAAAGGTCTGACCGACATGGCAGTGGAGCATCGTGAGGAGATGCAGTCCCATGGTAGCCAGTGGCCAACATTTGGTTCGTACGCCATTTGTTCCTTCAGGATCCTGGAACCCATGTGCACCAGTGGTTTAGGATCAGGGTTTTCCAACTCCCCTGGATGAACTCTCCATGTCCACCAACCCGGTTAAAGCGCCAGACCTTCGCTTTTCGTCCTCTCAATATCGTAAATAACACCCTCGCCACGAGAAAGCAGTTAGTAGAACTTCCCTGTCAGAGGCTGTATATGCGTGGCCATATGAAAGCATTTCGAGAGGGTAGGCAGGCCCTCCTCACTCTCGGCCGTACCAGGGCATTAAAATGAAATGACAATGATTATTGGACATAAGTTGACATTAGTTGGTAGTGAAATGAAACTACCGAGTGGATCTTTCTGAAGTCAGAAGCAGGGTGCTGAGTAACAATGGCAAACCAGTTGATGAGTTAGTGAATCCTTATCTATTGAGTTGGCTGAACTATGTATTATGCATGATCAACAAAGTTTATACGCGATATCTGCTGGTGTAGGTGTCGAGTCAAAGAGCGCTAGGGTTAGCCAAACTAAAAAGTGGCATCGGTTCATGAAATTAGCCTTGATAATTTCTTCTTGATATGCTTATGTGATGTGACAGCTTGAAATCTGTCAGGTACCACACTACTTACAACTAATTGACTTCATGAATGAATGAAAGCGACAATTTTGCACACATTCTAATCGCTAGCGGAAATCTTAGTTTGAAATTTCCCATTTATTTATGTTTTTTAGTTTATTTATCTTATCACGAATTTTTTACAGTCTTTTAAGAGACCCAAGCCAAATACCAAATTTTGCTGTACACGACATAAACGTAAAAAATTTAACTGGTGAAGATTGGATCCTAGTTTTACCACCTTGGGGTCCACTTCCTCATTGGTTCAATGATAGATCATATGAAAGATATACAAATCATAGTTATTTTAATAATTGGTCAGGCATTCCATGGTCAATGTTTTTTGATTTAAACAGTCTCTCATTATTTATACCAGTTATGGATTTAATTGAATTTCAACGCAGTAACGGTAAGTGATTTTGATTTCAATTTTTAAGAAATGCCTATTTATGCATAAATAATTAAATAATAATATGCGGTTTATTTACCAAGTAAGGGTATTATACACCCAGTTTTTAACGGGAGATTTTATGTGTATGAAGACTAGTGTGACTTACTGGGCTTTTCTTACCAAGATATGATGAAGTGTGTTAGATGAAAAGTTATTTTTTAATCTAGGTGTTATGATGACGCTAAAATGATTGATAAACTGAAGCGATGTTTTCTTCTAAGCAGTTGGTTACTAAATTTCAACCGATTAGAGTTTACGAGATGGAAACAATAAACAACAGACTAAATCTTTGAATATGTACAAGAGAATTATACTTGTCATCTGTATATAGAATTATCCAACCGAGGTACTATGAATTATCAGATACATGCTTAGTTTCTAATGGAAAATGAAAATCCTGAATTAATCGATGATTCTTTGCTTCTTTCTGTTGTAACAATAAGAAGAATGAAGGTTATTACATTTATAAAGAATGAACTGCAACTTGTAGAGAATAAATTTAAGTTTTGTGTTCATCTCACAATTATATACTTACAGTACTGGTTAATTTTAACCTCAGCACTTATAATAAATAGTAAACATTATTAACTTTATTTGAGATTAATAATTATTTCAGTCAGTCAGTTATTTTCAACCTTTCCATACCACAACAACACGACGAGATGAAATCAAGAAGTCTAATGATAAAAGCAGTCAAAATAGTGTAGTAGCAACGATAATGTGAACGGATCAAGATAGGGAAATTAGTTCTAAATAACAGAGTTTTATGGTATTTATGAATGAGTATTAGTGTAAAAGATGACAATAAGGGAAAGAATCTGTGTTTATTGCGAGAAGTTACGAAGCATTTACACAATACATGTACATAGCCTTCAATCATTCATTTACATGACTGGCCCTACATCTTCAACCTGAACCGTCTTCTCGTCTGTTCTTCAAGTGTTCTGTCTACGCCGTGCTGTTGCTGTACTGATCTTCTCTCCGTCTGACGACTGTTACACCTTGGACACCACGTTCCGCCACATAATAACTTGCAAGCAATCTTGTGAGTAGCGTCCACTACACTAGAACGGAAGGCCAAGAGTAAAAAAAAGACTAGACGTGTCTATGCTACATTGATCAATTCTGAATCGTGTCTCAAGTCACTGGTCGTGCTTTTCACACGCACCCCACTTGATTTGTCATCATCTATCAACATGACTTCATTGATTGATGTCACATTTTGACCGATGTTGGCTGTGGGTAATCCTACTTAACGTATACAATATTATCATATAGTGAATTGGTTAAGGTTAGACACTAACACTATTAGGAGCCGGCTCAGTGGTCTAAAGGTTAAGGGTTCGTGCACGAGACTGAAGGCCTTAGTTTCGACCCCCGTGTGTGGAGTGCAGGATGTCGGCTGTTGATGAATCTCATACTAGGACGAGACGGCCACCTATTGCTTCTTGATTTCCAATAGTGGTCTAGGTAAGATCAGTTTATGATTTAAACTGTCAAAGTTCTACATTCTCCTCAAATCTCCCCTAATAACATGTTGGTTGATTGGTTGCGTACAGTCAGTCAATAGACAATGTTTGAACTTAGGAAGTGATTACATTGATTTTCGCACGTAATTTCGGACATTTAGTACTTTTTATATGAAAAATTAGATGACATTATTATTATTTTCCAAAAAACTGCATCCTTAAAACTCGTTTTCATAAATTTAGTATTGGATTCACAACAATCATTATTAAACAGGTCATCCAATCATCCGTTGACAATCGATTTAGCTCTTCAGTTAGTCCGTGGAGATTTTAATGAAAAATTGGGGCAATATTCAAATGTTAATAATCGTAAAGTAGATTTTTGTCCATTTGAATTACGTGAATTATATCGATTAAATGTAAGTCGATGATTAACCAACCATCTTATGTTCATTTTAATGTTCTCGTCTCATGTTATCCACATCGTTATCAACGTATACAACTCTTCCAGTCATTTTCTCGTTCATTTAGCAAGTGAATGAGGGCTAGATATTAAATTATGACTTCCGTTAGATATTTTGTCTCAAGCTCTAATATTCACTACGTATATGTTTTTCATCAGGCATGTTAAGCTACGTTCTACTGATATGTTCATAGCAGACAGTTGCTGATAATCCCAGATAGTTGGAATAGAATTTTTAATGAAAATTACGTTTTCGCTTAGCAAATAAACGAAAAGTTAACTGAAGGTACTAAATACAACAGATTTATCTAAGATTGAAAACGTCATGGATAAACTCAGCGTTCTTCCCTTGTTTCGCTTCTAAAAAATACTTAGTTATTGTTCTAACCAACTTTTGTTGATTAGTCACTCATATGCACCGTAGTAGGACCTGGTGAAAATACATTTCGGCTAAAATTAACACGTCTCACAGTGATGCAGTGATCCAGCTACTGGATCATCATCTGATAGTATGGCTCTGACTTTAGTCAGTTTATTATGTAGCATAACAATCATCCAGGATGTTGGTGATAGCTTTTTTACTCCTGACATGTAAGATTAAATGATTATTCACTATCATACTATAAAAATCATCAAATAAGGATCGTTAGAACATATAGTCTGTTAAATTTATTCACATTTTAAAGCATATACATGTATGCCTATCAAATCAAATATTGTATTGTGCTTGTGAACTGCTATACTAAAAATATCCATTAATTCAATTCTTATGTAGGACTCAACATTGTCATCATCATCGTCATTCAGTCGACCAATAGAATTATTTGAAGGAAGTAGTTTTAATTTACAAAATGGTATATTACCAATGAGAGCATCTGCATATGATTGTATCACTGGAGATTTAGAACCTGTTCATTTAGCACCATTCTTAATTCAATTAATTAAAAATTCTGAAAAGCCTATTACGTAAGTTTTTGTTATCCAGTTATATATATATATATATATATATATATATATATATATATATATATATATATATATATACTATCAATGTATTTCAATCAAATTTCTGTCGTTTACCCAAATAAATTGGTTTATTTTACAACAGTTAGTTGACTGTAGTGATTTATTTAATTTAATTTGTAATAAAGTACTCAATTGACAGGATATTTGTTATCACTTATGATTTGATGAGTAAAGCAGGTTTATTATAATTTAATGGAAGGAAATTAAGCGGATTGGTTTTATTTATAGGTTGTACTTTTTACAGATTAGCACGATCGCACGAAATTGAGCAATAACAGGTCTGTGATGCCCTTAGATGTCCGGGGCCACACATGCGCTACAATGACGGTGCCAGCAAGTCTGGAAACTTGGCCCGAAAGGGTTGAGCAAACTGTTTCATCACCGTCGTGACTGGGATCGGGGCTTGCAATTATTCCCCGTGAACGAGGAATTCCTGGTAAGTGCAAGTCATTAGCTTGCGCTGTTTACGTTCCCGCCCTTTTTACACACCGCCCGTCGCTACTACCGATTGAATGGTTTAGTGAGGTCGTTGGATTGGTGTCGTTGTAGTGGCGTTGCCGCTCGACTGATGCTGAGAAGATAACCTAATTTGACTATTTAGAGGAAGTAAAAGTCGTAACAAGGTTTCCGTAGGTGAACCTGCTGAAGGATCATTATCATAACCCAAAAATATATAATAATACATGCACCTGGCTTCGTGCTGGACTGTATGTACCCTGGCTTGGTGGTTATTACCATAGGCTCCAGTGGTTATTATTAGCATCGAAAACCAGATGACACTGGACAAATGTTTCGTCCCATCATGGGACTCATCAGCAGTGGATTGATGAAAAGGATTGAAAGCAAGACTTTAAGGTCTCGTGAAAAGCATTTAATCACTCGAACCACTATATCAGAAACCTGTGATACACATTTCCAACTTTGATTAGTTTGATAAATAACGTGACAATCATCCAATGGTAGATTGTTATATAAGTTCGTCACAGTGTATAGTATCAGGATTTTTTAAAATTTCAATATGAATATGTGCGTATATTTTTACCGTGTTTACAGGACTTTATACTTAGACTCAGCTCAGTCGATTATACACGGTCATTGGAGTGAATGGAGTCAAGAATATTGGACTGTAAGTTTTCTTTCTATTATTTCTATGTATAGATCATTATGGTTAATGTGAATCAGTCAGTTAAGGTGATCAAAAAATAAGTTCATATTTTAGAATTATATTAAAATGAATCAGATTTAAACATAATATCAGTTCATAACGTTATTGATTGTTGGTTTTAGGTGGATGTAATGAATAATTTTAGAGACTATAGGACAAGAATCTAATAAGAACACAATGATAATAAATATATCAATTTTTTGTAGAACAGTTTTAAAACTTCCATATCTCTTAAATATTCATTCTCACTTAACAAAATCCAAATTCATTTTACTTATTATTGCAATGGAATCTCTTGCAGGGTCATGGGTAGATACTACATAGAAGTTTTGGAATTAGAATAAAATATCTATCCGGTACTCATATGTATTTTAGCTTATTTAAAAAGAGATAGGCATTTTCATGTGGTAGTAGTTAAAGAGTTTGTTTGATCAACATAATTTCTAACATTCTATCTTCAATAAATCAAGTGACACTTAAGTTGAGGTTGAATTCTGTGAATATGGGAAAGCTAAACAAGTTTCAGTCTCAGCATTGTATCTATTATCGATCAAATTCAGAACACATACGCTACTAGTATTCTCCGACCTGAAAGTCTATCAAACAAACACCTTAATACACGTTAGGCTATTTATTCACATACGTATGGTTGGGTTAGAGCTTACTTGAAGTGGCTATGTAGAGTAGTTCTCGTTATTAATATAATCGTAAAGGCAATATTTCCTTTCTATCTGTTGGAAAGTTGGTTTTCTTTCAAAAGAGTTTATCATCGACTAACTCAGCAAAGATAATATATTTCGGTTAATTGAACATACTTAGAAAGTGTGGAATCTTTAAAGAGTAGATGGATTGATCTGATAATTATCCTGTTTCTGCTATGGGAAACAGCTTACAACACTAACCGAATTTCATTCATTGAAAACTGGAGCAGTTAAATTGCATCGCTGTTCGCTTTCAAAGAAGTTAGGATATGATTTGTAATGTATGCCAGTTGGTAGATTTACGTGCACCCCAGAAATAAGTTATGTGTGTGTGGATCTATAAGATAAAGAAGTACAAGAGAGAACATGGGTTAACAATTCAGTAAATACACATGTAGAATGTACTTTCACTAAAAAATGAAAATGAATTATGTCCATTAGGTATGTACGAGCGTCAAATCAAGGCAATTTGGAAATTGAAACTAGCTAATTCGATAACAGTAAGATTTCGAATGCGTTACACAGCTTCTGCTGGTGAAATAACATTGTCTTAGTGCTTTTGTGCATCCTTAATGCATTTAGGTCTGTAGTAAAGCAAGTGATACTGGTATGTTTTCTAAAAATCAAATGTGCGTTGTAGATTTGATATCTGTCTGGTCTTGAGCAAGCCATTATAAAACCTAAAAACTAAATGCAAAGTTTAATCGTTAGTAGACTTGCCTTTCAAATGATGTATTCATTAAGTGGTTGGAAACAATAGGCAGGAACCCTTGAACCAAGTTTTCATCAGAAAAACATATCTTTAACATTGAGGTGACTGATTCTCCTTATAAGCTGCGAACTCGGATCATTCAGTTACACACTCTGACTCGTTACTACTGAGCCATTTTTGCCGCGATCAAACTCTTCTGGGTCATATATTTACAGTTGTTTACTTCATTGATATCATCTCAGGAGGCGGAGTTGAGTGACATAAGCTCTAAACCATCAGAAATTATCATTCTTCTCGAGGTCGCAGGTATTCCTCGCTAACGATTGTCATCTAGCATGAAGCCTAGGTCCAGGACTTCCTGCCAACTACCTATAACCACCTAACGACAAAACATAGTTCGAGTAATGTGGCCATATTGCAACTTAATTGATAGAATAAGATCAACACTAGAGACTTGATGAACATGACACAGTCAATACTCGGCGATCAATCGAATCCAAACGTCATATTCGATTAACTAGTCAATTATAAGTTACACATTTCTAATGAATTTTATTTGGTTATTTGCAAGTATTTCGAATAATGTGAATCATAGTATGTTTAATAACATTTGGTCACTTTCTAATATCTCCTTTATACTGTTATGCTATCATTTCTCTGTTGTTGTACATTACAAATTTGATATTTAGGTACGTCGAAGCATTACAATAGCAAAACATTTACGTGATATTGGTGATAATTACCGTGGAGCTTATTTACATTCTAATGATATTTCAGATCGTACAGTATCACCGTCAATAGTTGAACATCTTGGTCCAGGTTCCAGTTGGTTACGTCCACAATGGCCACTTTCACCAGCTCTAGGTGGACCATATGTAGCAGTTCATTGGCGTCGTGGAGATTTTGTTACTACAAGCACTAACGCTACAACAACAACTGTTACTACTACTAGTCGATCTCCTAATAATGTTTCAGCAGCCCAACAAATTCTAAATGCTGTCAAGATATTTAATCAGTATGAAGATCATTACATCGATACAATTTATCTAGCCACAGATGCTAATAAAGAAGGTTAGTATTAAAAAAAAACTTATATGGACAGTAGTGAAGAATATTTATTCATATCTTCATTCTATTCCGTTAGAGGTGGTCATAATAGTAGTAAAATACCAAAAATGAAGCCTCCATCTACTAACAATGCAAAATCAACTTGTGTTTTTTGTTTATATCACTTGGGAAAAACGACTTCACCATAACGCGTATACATATATATGTGTGTGTGTGTGGTCTGTCAGTACAGGGTTTTAGAGATTGTTGAGTTTCATTGAAATCCTGAACCGAACATCGTTAGATCACCATTATGTCTGTTAATGATGATAATAATAGATTTGCTTAACAATGACAACAGAGATTTTATATGAATATCTTAATTAAGAAACTGAAAATGTAGGTTGTAATGAGCCTAAATATTTACCAAGATAATGTTAATAGATTAATAATTATAAAAGAAAGCTTAGATCATGTGACAATATGAAATGTTGAATTTCAGATGAACTGTAATCAGAAACAGCATGGAAACAGAAATAAGTTGGTTCGAGGTAAAATATCAATAATGAGAAGAGATAAGAGGAAAGATGTGATGACATTAGATTGGCACTTTGGAAAATATGTATACATCTTGAACTGTATAGCTTTGAAAATAAATTCGGATGAAGGAGAACCCTTCTTTGAATCGATCTCAATGGGTATATTTTATTTATTTACTTGCTTACACTTGTTATCTTTCGTGGTGGAGTGTAGGCCGCCCACCAGCATTCTCCAACTTATTCTGTCCTCCACTCTCTTTTCCAGTTTTTCTTCCAATTTCTATTCGTTCTCTCTATGTCTGCCTCTGATTCCCGATGGAATGTGTTTTTTGGTTTGCCTCTTTTCCTCCTGCATTGGAAAATCCAAATTAGGGATAGCCTGGTGATGCAGTTTGGTCGTTTCGGCAATCTGTATCCTATCTACCTCCAGCATCTTTTCATAATTTCATCATCAGCTGGAAGCTGGTTTGTTCTCTGATACTTTAGGTTGTTTTTTATATCTGGTCAAGGATCTTGAGTATCTTGTGTGAACAACTTTTATAAATGCATGTACCTTTTTGATTATGGTTATAATAGTTCTCCAAGTCTAATCCGGTACAATAGAACTGTCTTAATGTTAGTGTTGAAAAATCCTGACTTTGATGTTGATTCCAGATATTTTGAGTTCCATTTACTTTGTACTAAATATCACAGTTATAAAAAAGCCATGAAATAACTGCACAGCTATATTTGATTAAACAAAATTAATGATCAGTTAGTTGTATATAGAATATAATTCTTAATTAGGAAAGTCAATTTACTGATTTATACTACTTTTGTATATCGCATATAGAGACGTTCACTTTAGGTAAGTTGAGACAATCGTTTTGCAGCAAATCTTTCACACCTAAACCAATGTGTAGCGGAGACCCACACTATCAGTAATTGTTATATATTTCATCGGTATACCAACACTAAGATATTGGTTGATACTTTCAAAGAATCCTATTTAGAAGGAGCCTGAGCAGGCTATCGTTTATGCAGTCATGTTGTTTAAGATTTACATTTCTCTCCTACTGAGAGGGTCACAGTTACTCACATGGATTTATCACGTTTTGTATGCTGCAAGATAAAGATGATCAAGCACAGAGGTTTGCCAAACACCCTCAGCTCAAAGGAGTCAAGTTCCATAAGTAATAACTTGATCAGATTGAAATAACTTGGAGAAATTCGACCATTGAAAATATAAAGTCTACTTGGTCTGAAAACGTTTATTAATTTCAAGTTATAATATGTTGAATGTGTTATTGTGTGATACTTCAAAACTACTGATATTATGTAATAGAAGTAGTGTATTTTTGAACCATCATTTTATTTATTTTCTATTACATCTATTCCATATCTAGAACTAGAAAATCTGAAAAGTTTACTTTATCCACTTCAAGTATTTCATTTTGAGCCAACTGAATCCGAGTGGATATCTTATGGCCCAGGTGGTTCAGCAATTATAGATCAATGGATTTGTGCACATGCTAGGTATTTTATCTGTTAAATACAAATTTTTACACTTTATAAGGATTTATATTTTATCATTACTAATATTAAGGCGTGAATTTCTGTTACTCTTAGTTGGAATATGTGAATTCCTTGATATTTTCTCTTTCTACTAACTTTCTTACGCCTGTCATCCCTCATAGAGCAGAATAGAATCCCCACTAGGATTCTACAACTAATACTGTCCTTCGCTCTCCTTTCCAGTTGTTTCCAATTTCTATTCATTCTTTCGATGTCTGCCTCCAGTTCTCGATTTAATATGTTTTTAGATCTTCTTCTTTTCCTTTTCCTTTCAGGATTCCAAGTTAGCACTTGTCTCATGATACAGTTTGGTGGTTTCTTCAACAGACGTTCCATCCACCTCCAGCATCTTTTCCTAATTTACTCCTCATTTGGAAGTTGGTTTGTTCGTTTCCACAGTAGGCTGTTGTTGATAGTATCCGGTGAACTGACATTGAGTTTCTTGTGCAAACAATTGTTTAGAAATACTTGTACCTTTCTGATGATAGTTGTAGTAGTTCTCCAAGTTTCAACTCCGTATAGTAGAACTAACTGACTTGACTCTTATATTGAAGATTGTTACTTTGATGTTGGTTGACAGTTGTTTGAGTTCCATATGTTCTTGAATAGTAGAAATGCTACCCTTACTTTGTTAATCCTTGACTTTACGTCTGCATCAGATCATCCTTGTTCATCGGTGATGCTGTCCGAGTAGGTACATGAAAGTTTCATCCTCTTCCAGAGTTTCTCCATCAAGTATGATTGAGTTGATGTTTTCTGTGTTGCATTTGAGGATGTTAATTTTTCCCTTGTGTATATTGAGGCCTACTGATATAGAGGCTGCTGCTACAATAGTTGTCTCCACCTGGGTCTGTTGATTTTTATGGGATAGATGAGCTGGGTCTTCCTTTTACTAGTTATAAGTTGTTTAGGAAAGACTGATTGTAGCATATTTATTCCTATTCAGGTCTTTTCAGTTGAATCTACATATAACTCGGTGATGAATTAGTTTCTTTCGATGTAATAATTGTTCTAATTGAAGTCGTGGGTTTATTTAAATTAATTTTATATTTATTTTTGCAACACTCTTAATACTTCTCCATAAATGATGAGTGAATTTATTACTCAATGAATTATAAGCACTGACTGGAGATATTTCTGGGTCTAACCATAGTTTCTATTGTTTATTTGCAAGCGTCTATTTATAAGGCGAATGTGATGAAATTAGAGTGTTGTTCTTTTGTAGAGCTTTCTTTGCTTTTAAATGAATAAAATTCACGATATTGTGTGACCATCATCCATTACCTTCACTGGATAAATGTCTTATACCTGACATAGTTGATCGCAGAATGTCACGAAGTTAGATACTAACTAGCGGTTTAGAGTTTAAGCGTTTGGGTGCGAGATCGGAGGTTCTGGGTTCGATTGCTCTATGCAGGTTTCTCGATGAGCATTGCTGATGAGTCTCGTACTAGGAAACAATAGTCCATTACTTTTAGGTGTTCATTAATGGTCTAGCTAAGATCGTTTCATGACTTAAGAACTATGAAATTTCAATAGTCTCTACAAAGCTAAAAATAATGTTTAGTGATTATATTTTTATACACTCTCTAACTTTTTCCATATTACTTCTAAGTAGTCTTTTATGTGCTACATCGTGTTTAGAAAGAAGTATGGTAGGAATGATAAGATTTGGTTTCATTTCTATTTCTCTGCTTATAGATCAGGTTATCTTTGTAAACTGATAGAACACGTAGTAGTTCATAATGAGTAATATATAATTTAAATCTAATCACAATATTGGTTAATCACTTGTTGTCAATCAAATTGTGAAACTATAGATCACATTGTTATATCATTTTAAACACTCATATGTATATATTTGTGTACCCAAATGAAGCTGACGATACTGCTTATAGTTATGCAGTTGATAAGAGACAACTTATTCAATAAAATTGCAGTTTAAAAACTGTTTGACGATGATATAAAAGTTTCATTATTTCGAGTTTGTATTTATACTACTAATTAAACTGAATAATTCTGTAAATTAAATTATACGGTTGTTTTTTCAGATCAATTAACGCAAATCATTCAGTCATTTTTTTATTTGATTGCATGTTGGTCAGTAAACGATAACTATATTCCCACTTAATAACAAGTTTTTAAAGTTATAGTTGAAAGATTTTTCTGGTGATATTCAGGTAGAGACAGGTATCTACCTCAAACAACGAAAAATGGTTGCGCAAATTCGCTGGATTGGTTCAAATTAGATATTAACACCGTTGGATATTGACTCAGTAGTCTAGAGGTTATGCGCTCGCACACGAGACCGATAGGTCTTGGGTTCGAATCTTGTGAGATGGGATCATGAATGCGCACTGTTAAGGAATCGTAAAATAAGACGAAATATTCATCCATTGCTTCCAGGTTTTCCATGATGGTCTAGTTTCAATTGAATCATGATATCAGTTATTGAAATTACTATAATATCCACCCCCTCTGATATATATTTAAAAAAAATGTTATCTAACCAATGAAATGAAATTTAAACAACTAAGCGTAATATAAAAATTTCTACAGTAATAATCATATGTTTAACTAAAACAAATTTATTCGAAGAGGGGGGTGGGAAACCTTTTCCCGGCGAGACTCTAATTTAGCGACGACCTTTGAACGAATCTTAAATGACCTTGACAATTGTTACCCAATCAGAAGACAGTTAGTATAAAGTGAAAATATATTGTAAGTAATGAAATACAGTGGATATTCTTCTTTTACATGATTTAAAAACTTGTTAAGGTTTGATAAAGGTTCAGATGTTCTGAAGTCATAATGCATATTGTATAGAAACTCGTCCATAGGGTTAGGGGTTAGGGTTGTAGCCTAGGGTTAGGGTTAAGGTTAGGTTTAGGGTGCTAACAGGCGATCAGTTTACAACGGATTTTAGAGGTTAGGGTTTAGGGTTAGGGTAAGGGTTATGGTTAGGGTCATGGTTTAGGTTAGGGTTGGGGTTGTAACCTGTCAATAAACACATCTTCTCTAAAATCAGATGTAAACTGATCGCATGTTAGCACCCTAACCCTAACCCTTACCCTAACCTTAACCCTAAACCTAACCCTAAACCCTAACCATATGGACGAGTTTCTATACAATATGCATTATGAATTCAGAGCCTCTGAACCTTTATCAAACCTTAACAAGTTTTTAAATCATGTAAAAGAAGAATATCCACTGTAATTCATTACCTACAATATATTTTCACTTTATACTAACTGTCTTCTGATTGAGTAATAATTGAAATTGCTCAAACGCTTCTCATTGGCTCGTCCCTAAATTAGAGTCTCCCCGTCCCATCTGTTGTAACCTCTCATTATTCACCTCCTCTCTAAAATCCGCTGTGAACCGATCGTATGTTAGCATCGCGTGTTGAACTTGGCTCCGTGACCTTGAAATTGCCCAAACGCTTCTGACTGGCTCGTCGCTAAATTAGAGTCTCGCCCTTTTCCCCTTCTCTCTTTATTGAAATAATTGTCCAGAATGTAAGTCAAAATAAAATAATTTTTATGCATTTTGTAAATCATCTTGTCATGTATACTGATGATAAATTTACATGACTGTTTTTTAAAAAAAAATAATTTTTCCACTATTTCTTAATATCCTCATATTGTTCAATGATGAATTACCAATCAATGTATGAAGATAATAAAAAAAATGGATTGTTTTATGTCCAAAATTACTTTGTATTTACCATTCATGATTGTTATTATTTTTTTTATTTAGAAAATTCAATTCGATTGTTTGTTTGTTTTTTGTTTTCTGCCAATTTTGTTTATATTCAATTCAGATTTTTCAATAGAAACTGATCGTTACATTTTGTATCTAAGTGTTTCTATACGTGACTTTATTAAACTTTATTATAATATCAGAAGGGGGGTGTTTTGTAGATATGATAGTAATTTTTTTTAATCGTTAAAATGATAAGTTAGATGACTATGATAAATTTGAAAGTCAGTCAATCAGTCAGCTACAACGTAGGACAAGGCACATATGTGCATCGGTCCAAGTTAACGTACCTCACCGGATTCATAGGAGTGGTTAAGTCAATTATGGTAATGTATAAAAGAAAGATTGCATATAAGAACATAGTGCAGGAAGAAAGAATTAGTTGGTAGAAAAAAAGATATGAAGCTATTTTAATCTTACCGTTTAAGAGAAGATAGAGAGTGTAGAAATGTACTCTGATGTGATCGAATCTGAGATATGTCACCCACAGTCACCAACCATTGGTTACGACAATCACGCGGACTCCAACCACGTAGTCTGCATCTACCAACATGGCTCAGACTAGAAGTTAGTGATTGTGTGGACTGATACCACGTTTTGGTTTCATCGCCTCTTCATTTCTTCTAACCATCTCCAACATCGGTTAGCATTGCACGTCATGGTAATCAGTGTTCAGGCATACGTAACGTAAATCTGAAAGTAATTGAATGATGATTTCATCTTATTATAAGACTTGTCTAATAATTCCAAATAAATTATCAATACACATATGCATAAAATAAATCTTGTCTATAAACTAGTTTATTTATTAATTTTTATTCAATTAATTAATAAATTATAATAATAATTAGATTGATAGTTAATTATGAATAATTAGATATTCTGTTTCAACTCTTTTTTTTTACATTCTTTTTATTGATTTCTGTTCAAAAGATAATGATTATAATTAGTCTTGGCATAAAACATTATCATTCAATGACTCAAGTATATAATAGAACTATATTTGGTTTACTCGGTTACATTACATTACATGTTGGATTATCTTCTATAACATATATATATATATATATATATATATATATATATATATATATATATATATATATATATATATATATATGGATTGTAATTAGAATTCACTTCATATACATTATCCAAATACAATTTATATGGATTGGTAATATCTATTAATCCACCAGAGTGCTTGGTACCTGTGTGGTTGCCCCACAGGATTGAGGTATACTATTGAAATTTTAGCGTTAAAGCCTATACGGTGTCTGGTTCTCTTGTGAAGCGGGATTGAGCTGTATTACATGGGTTATTAAATTTAAGGCTGAGCGGTATCTGGCTCTTCTATTGAAAGGGATCGAGCTGTACTGTTTGGGTTGTCACATAAAAGTCTGGATGGTGTCTGATTCGTCTGAAAACCAATGGAAAATTGGCCTGGCCCACAATGGTATATTATATAACTATATATATCATTAGATAGGTTGGGAATGCCAGTTACAGTAGAGTAAAGTCAATTGTATGTGTACGTGTATATATGTGACACATCTACTATAATCTTCCTATTTGTCATTATTTCTTGTTTTCCGTTTATCTATTCTATTCTAAATTTCTTCATTTTGATTTATGTTTATTGTGATCAAACTCGTAAATGTGTTACTTGGTGCTTTGATCACCTTGAATGACTTTCAATATTGTTTCCTTATCAATAATCATAATCTTTACTCATTGTAATCGATGATTATTGTTATATATAAATATAAAGACTTTGTTTCTTTGATCGGATTCAATTTAACAAACACAATAGAAATAAGTTTAAATGCTTTTTCTTCTTTTTTTTTTCTAGTTAAATTCTGTCTATTATTTACTAGAAAAACACGTAATATTACTCTAAGTATGGTTCTCTTACTTTTTTTCGTTGTTGTCTATTAATACTACTCATTTACTACTACTGTAGTGAACGGAACACGGGGGGGAGGGACAATCGAATGTATTTAACACAAAATTACAGGACTTGTTAATAAAATCTAACAATCACGAAGTAAATGCTTAATTTGCAAAATGTCCATCATTTGTCTCAAAATGATTCAGACTTCATTGTTCTTGCATTTTCATACAAATTGCATTGTGTTTCCATTCTTTACTGTTCGATACTCTTGTTTCTCTTCCGTCAAACCTTTTGTTCACGACTAACATCATCTACTACTTATGTCAATATAAGTAGCATACACCACACTACTACTACTACTACTGTTACTACTACTATTATTATTACTAGAAAATTAATTATGATTGCGAATATTCAGTAATTCACTGATTTTTGCTTATTTTTTTTTAGAAAAAAAATGTCGTAAAATAGAATATATATGTAGTTGATTACATTGTGTCCCATGGCAACTAAGTTATTTTATAGGATTATACAATTTATAATTTACTATTATTTCAACATTTCTTTGCTTTTTTTGTTTCGTTTTCGTATTTCAGTAAAGTTGAATAGATTTATTTCAGGTTTATTATGTTGGTTAATATTGGCAGTTGTTTAAAACTTTAATTATAGATAAATAATAATAGAATATGATATTTTTCATTCTTATAATAATAATAGTTTAGTCAGTGAGATAAAAGGCTTTTTTTTAGTATATCTATATATTCACTATTGATAGGTTGATGGTTTTATTGAGTTTTCAGTGTAATACATTAAAGCTTGAAATAGAATGAAATGATTATTTAGTGGTAAATCATTCGAATTCTTTTTACGTTGAAATGTCTGGAGTTGATCAGTCTCTATTGATATATACTTACTTACGCCTGTTAACCTTCGTGGAGGAACAAAGGCCGCTTACCAGCACTCACCATTCAATCATGTCTTGGACAATACTTTCCACTTCTTTTCAGTTTCTAGTTATCCTCTTCATATCTCTTTATATTTCCCGATGTAATGTGTTCTTTGGCCTTCCTCATTTTTCGCTTCCTTTCAGGATTCCAAGTTAGGGCTTGTCTCATGATGCCGTTTGATGATTTCCGTAATGTATGTGCTATCCATTTCCATCGTCTTTTCCTAATTTCCTCCTCAACTGGAAGCTGGTTTGTCCTCTCTCACATTAGGCTATTGCTGATAATATCCGGCCAATGGATTTTGAGTATCTTGCGAAGACAATTATTTATAAATACTTGTACCTTCTTGATGATGGTTGTTGTTGTTCTCTAAGTTTCAGCTTCGTACAGTAGAACTGTCTTGACGCTCGTATTGAAGATTCTGACTTTGTTTTGGATATCAAAATCCAGTTTATAAATCTCAAATGAGTTGAAACATGCACTCCGTTGACATCATTTCTAGTCATAGTCCATCTCTATTTTAAAAAAAAGTAGTTAGATTGTAGGTTCAAACATAAATCTCCATACTTAAATCTCAATAGTTCGATAGTGTTGCAAATCGAATCCTTAAGAATGTTTAAAGCATTGAATAAGTTTTTTGAAATGTTCATCGTTTAATCAATTGAGTCAATGCAACTGTTACGTGATTACAGTGTGATATTAAAATGAAAATTATTATACAACTAATTCCGTTAATCAAATATGGATAGTGGCTAGCAGTAGAATCCAGTTTGATGCGCATTTCGTCCTATTTGCCTGTAGAAGTTAGGTCTTATGTTGAGATTAGGATTTAGAGTTTAGTATACATTAGATATGAGTAAGGCTTAGACCTATTATTGAAGTTATAGGTAGTGTTCAGGGTTAGAATTAAAGTTTAGTGTATTTGTAAAATATTTCTACATTCTAGCCATAACATTTAAGAACCTGTAGAAAACTTAAAATAAGTTAATTGATCATTTCAAAACAAAATATTCTTTGCGAATTCTTTCGTTTTATATCATATATTTATATAAATTCATTTTATATTGTTTGTATCTTCCCATTGATGTCTAGAATTGCAATTCATCATTCTCTTATTTACATATGTGCAACCTGTTCGGATTGCCTCGATATTATCTTAAGTCCAAAGCATTATAAGTAAAGATGGATGGTAGCTATCAGTGGAATCCACTATACGCATTTCTTTCTATTTAGGACTTTTCAGCTGGATGTACCTGCTTCTTAGAGTTGATATTCACTGCAGGACTCGAACCCAGTACCGTTCACTTCAAACCCCATCACATTATCCACTTGAGCTATTTAGTCTTGATAGCCACTTACTTGTGCAATGGGGTGAACTTATAAATTCACTTGGTATTATTTACTTGAATCTTCCCATTGTTGTTTTAGAACTGCAATTGATTCGTCTCTTATTGATGAATGTGCATCCTGTGCAGATTGCCTCGATATAGCCTTAAGTCATAAGCATTATATAAGTCACTATCCATATTTTCTTATATTTATATTTCTCATTGATGAAACGGTGTCCTAATCTCAATGTTATCCAATCATATAATGAAGCTTTTTTTTTTTCAATTTTGAACTAATCTTTTTATAAAACTGAATTATCATTGTCTATTTCTTATATGTATCTTTTCCTTTAATATTCATTGAAGATATTTTATTGGAACTAGTTCATCGACATTTACTTATCGTATTATTGAAGAACGTTCAATTATGGGCTTTTTATTAAATACTACTTTGAATAATTTCTGTTCAAATGGACCAATCTATTTATATAAACCAAATTATTATAATACAGAATTATCTACATGTCAATCGTTAACTGAATGGCCAGTGATTTATGAAAAACAATACACTATCTCATCATCATCATCACCATCATCATTATCACCAATGATCAATGATGAACTACTTTCAAATGAATATATTAAAGATGATTTATGATGTTGGATAATGTTTAACATATAGGAAGAGACTGATACAGCATATTACCCATCTATTATCACTACTACTACTACTGCTGCTGCTGCTGTTACTGGCTTCGATCGTTCTCTCCTCTATGTTCCTTTCCTTTTTGTTTGTGACTCTCATGATTATTTAGATTATTATTACTGTTTTCTTTTGCGTATATATATATATATATATATATATATATATATATATATATATATATATATATATATATATATATATATATATATATATATATATATATATATATATATATATATGTTTGCATAGCTGAATTTGTTATGCTAAGATTTCAGATCTTCAAAAGAAAAAAAATATTTCTTTTAATGATAATCGTTTGTTGTATCGTTATTTTTTTCAGTGTTAAATTTTCAATGGTTGCCTATATAATACCATTAGTCCATGTTTTATATTATGAAGTGTTATATCTTGTAACTGCCTATTAGAGAGCAGTGACTTATTGATCGGATCGATGACGCGTAAACACGTGCGAGCAGTTTAGAGTTCTGATTGGCCCTGCTTTTCGTCTAGCTCAGCCAGATAAGTCCAGAACGGAAGTCTCAGCCTCTGAGATATGAACCGTTATATTTCAAACATACTGAGTTTATATACCAATCAAACAGACCATAATGTACCATAAAATAGAAAATAACATTTGTACAATATTTGGCCAACAGGAAAATGGCACGTGAAATAAATATTGACCAATAGGAAAATGATGCCATTTCACGTCCAAGGATAGCATTAGACTTAACAGGATAATTTTTGGGATATTTTTCTGAATATCCCAACATGAAGTTCATCAGTCTTCATATAGTCACTCCTTGTTTAGTAATAATAATCATATGCTTGTTCATTGGTTACTAGCTATAAGAGGTGGATTCTAAAAGTTCTTTTTGAGATGCCGTGACTAATAGAGTTCAAGCATGTCGGATATGAGATAGTTATTCATCAATGACATCGGCAGATGATCGTGCAATACCACAAATTAGTTGAATTTTGAAATATAAATCATTAAATGCTGACTTGATGGCTTCAAGTTTAGACACTTAGTGTGAGACCTGAAGGTTATAGGTTTGATCCTCGGTGGGGCTTTGCGTACGCACTAATTAGCAGTCCTGTAATAAAACAGAGGAGATGACCGGATGTTCATGGTTTTTAATAACTATTAAACTGAAATCTGTGACACAAACTATGTTATTTTTTTAATAAAAAAAGTCCTTTCAGTTGTTTCGCTTTAATTTTTATATCTCACAATAATTAATGTAGTGAATCTTTATCGACTGACGTAGTTGGGACAAGTACTACGTATTCCCAATCACCTACCTCAACGTTCTAGTTTTGCTAGTCTAGGAGTAGGTTGAAAGAAAAATAGGTGTAATTAGACCAGGAAGTGATATCATTTTTTGAGGTAATTAACTGTACGATTGCTTCATGAAGGTGAATGCAGGCTACCTGGTCAGTGTGATTTTCGTTACCAATAGTTGAAAACGTTAGGTAACATGTCTTACAATCGTCTTAAATAACCCGGATGCATTCATTGTTTTTTTCTTTTCTTAGATCTTGAGCTTAAAGACTACCTTATACATTTTATTCCATGGATTCATCCTTTTTTCCCGGATTATGTTGTCGATACCTTATCTTTTCTACTGTCACTGATACTGTTACTACTTCCACCGCATTTTTCTTCCTAGTTTCTATTTAACTCTGCAAATACATTGTGGTAATTTGGGACGATGCATATATGTTCCAGGTTCTTTGTTTATAACTTACCATACAAGACTTTTTAACTATATATATCACAGACAATCTATATAATCTGACTAATCATTCATCAGGAAGCTATTGCTGAAAAATGAAAAGTGCCCTGGTAACCATGCATCATTTTGTTTTCTGTCCTAAAACTAATCTTGAAAGTGAAATTTATTTCATAGTTCCCATTTATATTTCATTTGTGCACGTGTAAAAATTGACTAAGAAAGTCAATACATCAAATGTTCAATATACTGGACATATATATGAAACGTTTTACTGGATCAAATGAATTATTTATTGAATTGTGGATAAATAATGGAAAAAACTAGTTTTACTATAAATCGATATGATAGTCTGTTAACTATTATATTAAAGGCCTATGTAGTGTTCACTGGCCATTCGATTCTGGCACTGATATACAAGCTCAACCTGTTACTTCAAAATGAAATATTGGCACAAACCCATCCAGAAATATAGATCTGTCTCCCCTCAAGATTTCCAACCAATAGCGCATATCTATTACTTCAGTAATTCAAACCAAATATTGACAAATGCAGCATACATACGGAACTTATCATTCGTCCTTGAACTGATGTATCCTATTGGTCCAGTGTGTTTCTGTTTCAGTTTATCCATAATTCTGTTTGAACAGATTATTTTATTGTCAAACTAATCAATGTAAAGCATTCGACCATTATTTTGTGGTAACCAAATCTTTGTTCTATTGTGAATAAGTAACTGTTTAATTTGTTTATTCTGGTTAGTATTTTTTAGCAGGGTTGTTTTCTACAATATGAGGTTGCTGACTCCATATCCAATCCTTCTTCTTTACTCGGGATTGAAATCGTTAGTAACTCGAGAATGCTGGTGAGCGGTCTGTGTTCTTTCATGAAGGGGTAACAAGCGACAAATGAATAAGTAATATTTCTTTACAAATCACACGACAAGTATTATCTTCAGATATTCTTGTGGTTCGGTAAAATATAAGGTATTCAATAGTGGAGAAGAGCGAATGTGTTCGTGTTATTCAATGCATCCCGTTTCATGATGAACGTATTATTTCACCGAATCATATCATTCACCTAACTATTTGATATGCTTCATTCATTAGATTAGATTGTTCTCTTAAATGTCTGTTTGATGTCACTCTTCAGTGTCTGAATTTTTCTCAACGATCCATTGATTACAAATGGTCAGTAATGTTTTCTTGTATTTACTATTGTGCTGAAATGAAACGTGCATTTATACCTCGAAGATTAAGACATTAAATAGTAACATGACGAATAAATTTGAGGTTTATCAACAAGCGGGATTTCTATGCTACTATAATAACCTTTTGTGGTATATGCTACTTATGTTGACAGATATAAGTAGTATGTATCACCGATCAGAAGTGCAATGCCTGTTAAGAGAAGGTTGAGAATATTGAACTGAAGAAAACAGAAATGAACGGAGAACTGGAGTAATCATGAAGGATGCAAAGTACGATTGATGGAAGATTCACAAATGAAGTATTAAATGTATGGTCTTCATATTTTGAGGATGAACTCAGTAACTTGGCATTAAACAATAAATTGGTCTTTCCCAACTGAGTCTTCGTTTACTACACAACTATTTCAAATAATATTGATTGTCTGGCCAGTTATTTTGTACTATTCATTCAGGCTTACATCTAATAAACTAGTTTCCTCAATATACAATTGAGATTCTTTAAATCGTCTGGTGTGTGACGAAATCTCAGCACTGATACAGAAGGCTCGACTAGCTTTCGCCAACTCGTGTCATTTATGGTGTAGACGAGATATCCATCTACCAGACAATAGAAGGGTTTACTGCGCAGCAGTTCGTTTCGTCCTACTTTATGGCTGTGAAACATGACCGGTAAAAGTAGAAGATATTCATAGGTTACTAGTATTCGATCATAGGTGTCTTCGAAGCATTGCTTGTATATCCTGGGACCATCGAGTAAGTAACGCAGTTGTTAGAAAACGGGCACTAGGTAAGTATGACAAATCAAGTGATGAAGTGGTGAAAATTCATCAGTTGAGATAGCTTGGACATGTGTTACGTATGCCCAACGACCGACTGCCTCGACGTGCTATGTTCAGTGGTATAAAAGTAGGTTGTAAGAAAGCTAGGGGTGGCCAGACCGAAACATGGCACAAATCCATGAAGTCACTGACAAGTGGACTGAGTGAGCCATGTTTGTAGGTGTAGATTACCTGGTTGGGAACCGCGAGATGATAGCGACCGATGGTTAGAGACCTTGAATGACATGGCTCAGAATCGTTTGCAATGGCGCAGGTGCATCCACTCTTTGTGTTCTCCCATATTTTAATCTTCTGAATTCTTCATGTCTCTTTGTTTTTTCTCTTTGCGAATTTATTTCACTGTGTTATACTCCTTGAATAACATCTTCAAACTATAGTCTTTCGGATTACTGCTTATACTTTTACTACCTCTACCACTACGGGATTTGAATCGACCACTGCATCTCTGTGCTAATGTGGTGTGGCAACTCGAACTGATGTATGTACGTACGAAGTTCTACTTTGTTGATGACTGACTGAAATCGTAGATAGAGAGATTAATTGTTTAAGTTAAAATAAATTTCCATCACGGATTGTAGTACTTTTTCGACCCTATATTTGACTCGTTAAATCGTGTGATGAGTGTTATCGAAATATAAATGCTGTTAACCCACGTATATTTTTTATCGACGTAATTCGCATTAGAGAACAATGGAATAAGATAAGTCAAGTACGAGAATTAATTCTGAATACGTATAATTCATACACTCATTGATCTAGACAGACAATCAGAGAAACGAAGTGTTGCGCAGATAAGGCTAGTGAACCAACTCGCTTTGATCAAGCGTGACTCAATATTTATATTCAGAGAAAAATAAATTACAGACAAGTAATGAAGCAAGTGTTAACTTGGTATCATAAAGGGAAACGGAGAAGAGGTAGATCAAAATATATTTTGTCGTGAATCGGAAGCAGACATGAAAAGGATTGCCAGGACAGAGTTGAATAGTACAGGAAGAAATAATTAGTTTGTGGAAAGATATGGAGCAATTTTAATCTCATAGTTTAAGGTAAGACAGAGGGTGTATACACCTACTCCATTGTTGATCGATTCTGAGCCATGTCACCCACAGTCTCCAACCATTGGTTACGATAGTCACGCGAACCCCAAACAAGTAGTCTGCATCTACCAACATGGCTCAGACTAGAAGTTAGTTTTGGTTTGGCCGCCCCTAACTTTCTTCTAACCGTTTTCAACACTAGTCAACATGGCGCGTCGTGGTAATCGGTGTTCAGGCATACGGAACACATGACCCAACCATCTCAGTCGATGAAGATGCACAACTTCATCAACTGATTTACCATCATTGTCGTAAGTAGTATGAACGGAAAATATAATTCGAACCTTAATTTTTCTATCATGACCATCATTGTCCTGAGAACAATATTAATATTCATTGTAGATAACACTTGCAAAACTACAAAAAACAAGGTCACATCATATAAAATACATTTTAAAAGCTTTGACAATGTACAAGAAAAAAAAACATGTGAAAGAGTTCAATCACAAACACACATATATTTATATATTCATTCATGTATATTGTTTGTCTCTTTTTTTCTTATAAAAAAAGTGGACTTTTAAGTAGGAAACTATTAAAATTCCAAGTGAAATTGATTATCTCACATGGATACAAACAGACACTCACACACACACACATACACACCCCTACTCATCTCATATACATGTATTATTTTAAAACTAAAAGAAAAGAACACAATCATCAAAATATACATTTGTTAGTTGTGGTCAATAATAATGATGAATTGTTGAGACTATGGTAATTATGATGTAAATAGTTTTGTTTGGAATCTGATTATCATATGAATTGTTTTCCTGTACAGTGTTGAAAATAATGATACGTAAAGTATAATGTATTTCATATTTTGAATGGATAATCCATAGAAGATATAAATATATAAACAACAGAATGAAGATGGGAAGTACTATCCGATGTAATTCATATTATTTTTTTTGATCTCGATTAGTTGAAGAGAACATCCATGAATTTGGATTAAGCAACATCCCTCCAATTAATGGTTGACGTATTTGAGTTGGATTAAATGGTGAAAGCGTAGGCGGTTGGGATAGAGTTGAAGGTTGTTGTGGTGGTGGTGGTGGAGGCGGAGGAGGAGGTGGGGGAACTGTACTCATCAGTGCCCAAAAATCATTAGATGGAGGACGTTGTAACGATGTTGTTTGATTGACTAACGATTGTGACCAATTCTGTCCACGAAATAGTGTAGTTGGTAATTGTAAATTATTCTGTGCTGGAACTGTTGCTATTGAACGTGTTTGCTGAGGTGATATCATAAAAGGTCCAGGTACTAATGGTCTAGGAGTAATAGGCATTCTTGTCATTGGATCATAAAACATCATATTTGAATGAGTTAGTCCAGGAGCTACCTATAGATAATAAATCGATTGAATAAAAAATGAATTATCAAACATTGATAATAACAAAAGATTGAAGTGCTGATATTGCAACAAACTTGAGTGTTATTACGACTCTAAGCGGACGATATAACCATTTTACTAATAAAACCTTAGAATTGAACCATGTCACAGGTGATTATATTCTTTTAAATTGCAATCGAGGAGATAATTTTAATCGATGGTTGGATTATTATTATTTTAACACATAGATATTGGTACAAGGAGGCACCAAATACATATATGCCACACAAATCTCATTCGATATGTGTGAGAGCTGTGATACTGCTCGGGTGCCCAAACCGAAGCAGGTGGTTATCTTAGGGGGCCACTCCACGAGCCTTCGACCTGAAGGTTTGATCCACAAGGTGGTGGAACATCGTAAGGAGATGCAGTCCCATGGAAGCCAGTGACCAACGATTGGTTCATACGCCATTTGTTCCCGCAGGATACTGGAGCCCATGTGCACCATTGGTTTAGCTTGGGATCCGGTTGAAGCACCGGACATTCGCTTTTCGTCCTCTCAATTTCGTAAACAACAGTAGTGCTACGAGAAGGCAGTGAGTAGTACTTCACTGGCAGAGGCTATATACGCGTGGCCGTGTGAGAGCATTTGGAGAGGGAGAGCGGACTCTCCCTACTCTCGGCCGTACCAGGGCATTTGGAAATGTTGCATAACACTGCCTGAAACTAATTGCAGTGTTATTATGGTTATCTTCATTCTTTGTATCTCTATATAGTTTAAGCTTTCATCCCATACTCTATATTACTCGATCTTGTCTGTTTCTATAAATAATATTTCCTCGTAATAGATATTATTCCCTCTCTTTATGCTGGTGTGAAATACGAGCACTTAAGCTCTTGCACAATGATGCTTATTCTATTTTATGTTTTCTCTAATTGACTGATGATATAAAAGTTATGATAATTGGGATTAATTGTCAGTCAGTCATTGTGACCAACTTGATCTCGTGTGTTGTTACGGGCATGAGTGCTGATGTCACTTCGTAGCGTTATCTTTACCGTACTAAACGAATAGAAATTTTATTGTTCAATTATATATAGAGAAACACATTACAAACAAAATTCTTCAGTATACCTGTGAATTCGTTATAGGCATGTTAGGATTATTATTCGCTGTTAGTACAGTTGGTTGGATCATTGATAATTGTGTTGAAGGTATATTCATTGAATTAACAACAGGAATTGAAGTAGTATTGTTCATAGGATTTGAAAGATTACAAAATGGTAATCTATATCCAGATGTTAATGATGGAATAGGAGAAGGAGTAATTGAAGTCTGTGAAACGATACTATGAGGAATATTTGACAGAAAAGATTTTGGATCCGTTCCATGACATGAATTGGGAATTAAAAAATCCGCTAAACTTGCTAGAAAATTACAAATAATTGAAGGAAAATGGGCAACATAAAAACAGTTTTGTGTGACTATGACTAAAGAACCACTTAATTAGATTATACACTATAGATAGTCCGCGTGATTATTGTAAACAATGGTTAAAGACTTTGAATGACAACTCAAAATTGTTTACAATAGTTCAGATGCATCCAACCTGTGTCGTCTCCAGATTTTGAGATACTCAATTTTCCATAACTTTTTCTGTGTTTTATTTCACTAATTCATATTTTATTTTCGAATCGTATCTTTGATGCCTAATCTTTTCCATTACCACTATCACTACCTCTACTATTCTGGGATTTGGCACGACAATTTCATCTCTCTCTGCTAATGCGGTATGACAATCTGAACCGATGTACATATTTACCAGGTTTTACATTGTGACTGACTGATAAATAAGAAAAAACCCAATAATTCAAATCTGAAAATTATGTTTTATTGTCCTATAGATAGAAATCACCGTTTTAAGGATATTTTATGACCAAATAGAGTTTAGTGTGGGCCCAAATGAAAAAAGAAGAAACCATTCTAATTATCACTATATAATAACTGACCTCGCCTGTCACAAGACAACAATGCCATTACCACAAGACACAAATCGTCGATTATTTCCAAACGCACACGGTAGTGATAAGTTTAAGTAAATATATTCACCAAACTTCTAAGAGTATTTTATACACATATCATGCGTATTTCACCTGCCAACTACGAGCTTGTATACTTGGGATTGAGATATATTTTAACTATGTTACTTGTGTGGCCTCCATCGGTATATGTGGAGGGGAGTTTGAAACCGAAAATGTCAAATGTTTTAGTCACTTCTACAGTGCTTACTACACAAGTTGTTTTAGGCAAATGAAGATCGTTTGTAACTTAGAGATATATTATTATTATTTATCTATTTCAGAAGGGGTTTCGTGGATTTTAGTAGTTAAGATCATGAGTCAACTGAAGTTAGACCATCATGGAGAACCTGAAAGCAATGAACGGCCGTTTCGTTCTACTGTGAGACTCTTCAGTATTGCGCATCCAACAGTAGGACGAAACAGCCATCCAGTACTGCCAGGTTTTCAATGGTGATCTAGCTTCAATTGACTCATGATCTCAATTATTATTATTTATTTATTTAATTAATTGACTGTGTTCATATAGTTTTCTTAAATTTCTTATTTTAATTTCATATACCTAGTACTTATACATTCATTCTTACCATACATCTGTTTAGAATTCGTGAATAATTTTATTTTACAATCATAAATTTTAAATGGTGTATTTTGCTGATCACTTTTAGGTTTATTAATTTGGTATGGCAACTCCAACTGGTGTACGCACGTTCGAAGTTCCACGTTGTTACCTACTGAAAAACCTGAAGAGAATTGATTGAAATACATATTCTCAATTGATATATTAAAGTCTGTACCATTATCGTAACAAGCAGTTGGAGATGATGAAACACAGTCAGTCAGTAACAACGTAGAACTTCGTACGTACGTACATCAGTTCGAGTTGCCATAACACATTAGCACAGAAATGCAGTGGTCGATTCAAATCCTGTAGTGGTAGAGATAGTAAAAGTATAAGCAGTAATCGGAAACATTAGGGTTTGAAGATGTTATTCAAGGAGTATAATCCAGTGAAATAAATTTGGAAAGAAAAAAAGGGACGTGAAGACTTCAGGAGATTAGAATTTGGGAGAGAACAAAGAGTCTATGCACCTGCGCCAATGCAAACGATTCTGAGCCATGTCATTCAAGGTCTCTAACCATCGGTCGCTATCATCTCGCGGTTCCCAACCAGGTAATCTACACCTACAAACATGGCTCACTCAGTCCACTTGTCAGTGACTTCATGGATTTGTGCCATGTTTCGGTCTGGCCACCCCTAGCTTTCTTCCAAGCTACTTTTATACCACTGAACATAGCACGTCGAGGCAGTCGATCGTTGGGCATACGTAACACATGTCCCAGCCATCTCAACTGATGAATTTTCACCACTTCATCACTTGATTTGTCATACTTACCTAGTGCCCGTTTTCTAACAACTGCGTTACTTACTCGATGGTCCCAGGATATACAAGCAATGCTTCGAAGACACCTATGATCGAATACTAGTAACCTACGAATATCCTCTACTCTTACCGGTCATGTTTCACAGCCATAAAGTAGGACGAAACGAACTGCTGCGCAGTAAACCCTTCTATTGTCTGGTAGATGGATATCTCGTCTACACCATAAATGACACGAGTTGGCGAAAGCTAGTCGAGCCTTCTGTATCCGTGCTGAGATTTCGTTACATATCAGACAACAAAGGCTGATGACACTTCCAAGATAAGTGAAGCAGTCGACACAGACGAGAACTGATCGTAATAGCAAAGATATATTAAATCACTGTCTCAAAATATTCACACTTTCAATTCAATAAAATCAAAACTTCTCGAATTATAATGTCTATTATAATGTCAGTCTGATCGTATTTACAATTTCACACTATCATATTACAAATTTAAACTCTATCCTTTCTTACCATATAGGTCACACAGTTTTCATTCTTTAACAATGCACACACACATACATACACAAATTTACATACTTATCACTTATGAATCACCGTGACAGAAATGACATACATCAACTTGTCCAGACCTGTTTTTGATTGATCAAATATTATTCTTGCATTGTTCCATTGTACTATTTAAACTTGGATTAATTTTAATTTGGTTATTTATTCTCTGAAGAAGTGACTTACACTAAGCCACGAAACGTCAGAAAAATCCAATTTTCTACTCATTGGGATATTACAAATATATTATTTTTATCTATGTTTAATGTTTCCTAATACCAATGAGATCGTTACTACTTCTACTATTCTGAAGTTTATCTTGATAATTTCTGTCTTGTCGTATTGATAATAGTATAAGAGCTTTTTGGGGATGAAAAAATATGCTAGATTCTACGTTGCTTATGATGGATTAACAGTGTACACTTAAAGATTAAGAATATTATTTTGATATTAGAAGTAGTGTAGTAACAAAAACCAGAAAGAGAACTACTTACATGCTGGTGTACCAAACGGATGAAATGATATCAGAGATTGATCTTTATCATTATTACCCGATAATAATAAATCATCTTGTCTTTCATCTAAAGTAGGTGTATCACCACCGCCTGGAGAACTATCACTATCATTACTACTATTCATAGAGTTAATTTTATCAAAACCAGAGAATTTCGATTGTTCTTCATTGTCATTATTTATTGAAGTTTTAGAAACAGATGATGATGATGATGATGATGATGATTTTTTATCGATCGAACAACGTAGTAGATCAGAACTCGTAGACGATGATGAGATAGTCGTTGTGGTCGTAGGAGTAGTACAAGATAAAATAGTCACATTAGTAGTAGATAATGCATTGGTGGTTGATGATGGAACATTTGTTTTACTGTTATCTTCAATATTGATAGCATCTGAAAATCTGGATCGTTTGACACATGGAATATATGAATTATTAGAAACATTCGTTGTTGTTGCTATTGTTGCATTGGTCGTTATTGCTTCTTGAACGCAACCTATTGATTTAAAATCATTATTGGTAGATGACAATAACAATGGATCATTCATTAGGTGGTTAGTTTTCCAACATAAATCAGTGGCAGCAGTGGTTGTTGTTGTTGTGATAGTAGTACTAGTAGAAATAATTGTATCATGAAAAGATTCCAGAACAGGGTTACTGGATGGAACAGGGGAAGTAACTGACAGTGTAATAGGATTCGATTGTGCTGGGATGCTACAACAACACATGAGGACATGTAAAGAGGCGAGGAAAAGAAAAATTTATTAAGTAATAAAAAAATATACTGAATTTCAAATCAATAGGCGCGTTAGATAAAATGCGATTTATTATCCTAATTTAATTACTAAATGAGTGAAAAAAAAGAGTATGACTGAGAATCGTTCACAATGGTGTAGATATATTCACCCTTTATTTTTCTCTCGATCTTGGATTCTAGTAATTCTTCATAGATACATTCCTATTTGGTTTTTTGAAACTTTATTCTCGGTGCTTGGTTCTTTTTTTGTTGTTGTTGCTACTAAGTTACTTTAGTCTCTTTTATTGTAAATCTTCTTAATTTAATCTCATCGTACTAATGGAGTATAGTGACTTGGATCAATGTATATCTGTAACAGGCTTCATGTCGATGATGACTGACAGCAGACAGACAATATAAGTATAGAGCATGGGACAGATGCATGCTGACCCAAGTTGCTATACCTAATTAGTACAACCAAATGGAAATAACGAAAGAAATTTAAATAATATAGTAAGAGTGATAAAAGAATGAATAAACTCTGGGGAGCATGGTTTGAAAAGGAAGAGTGGTAAGATATGTATGGAGGAATACTGAGACTTAAAATCGAGAGGATAGAAAGTGAATTCACATTTAACCCATTGCGAACGATTCTGAACCATGCTACTCAACGTATCCAACCGCTGGAGTGAGGTTATCACACGGACCCTAACAAAGTAATCCTCATCTATTAACTGTCATATTGTGGAGAAAAAAAATATTGCCAATGATAATAAAGAAGAAAAAAATATGTGGAGGGGCATAAACGAAATGAATGAAATCTGTACAATCAATTTGAACCTGTATCTCACCTAATATATTTGAATAACATTGAACACTTTTCAATCAATACAAAATTGTGTTCTATTTGTAAATGAATAAGAATCTAATGTATGCACTTGCTTTTATTATTCATTGAATGGTTTGTTTTTGTCTTATTATTTATTTATTTTAACACATAGATAATGGTACAAGGATGCACCAAATACATATGTGCCACACAAATCTCATTCGATATGTGTGAGAGCTGTGATACTGCTCGGGTGCCCAAACCGAAGCAGGAGATTTTCTTAAGGGGGCCACTCCACGAGCCTTCGACCTGAAGGTCTGATCCACAAGGCAGTGGAGTATCGTAAGGAGATGTAGGCCCATGGAAGCCAGTGACCAACAATTGGTTTATACGACATTTGTTCCCGCAGGATACTGGAGCCCATGTGCACCATTGGTTTGGAATCCTGTTAAAGCACCGGACATTCGCTTTTCGTCCTCTCAATTTCGTAAACAACAGTAGTGCTACGAGAAGGCAGTGAGTAGTACTTCACTGGCAGAGGCTATATACGCGTGGCCATGTGAGAGCATTTGGAGAGGGAGAGCGGACTCTCCCCACTCTCGGCCGTACCAGGGCATTTGTTTTTGAATCCTGCTTATACCTATAAATGTGACAAAATGATCAAAAGTCATTGAATTTTGAAATTTGCGCATTAAGATAATTGTTCTCTCGATACTGATTAGTGTATTACTTTATACAGTTAATTAATTCACCGGCTAGCATGGGGATTGCATCTCCTGACGTTGCTCCACTGACTTGTGAATCAGACCTTTAGGTCAAAGGCTCCGAGCGTGGTCCTCTAAGAAAACTACCTGTTTCGATTTGGGCATCCGGGCAGTAACACAACCCACACACAAATCAAGTGACTTATGTGACACATATTTGTTCGGTGCCCCTTCATATCAATATTTATGTGTTCAAACACATAAATAAAATAAACAAAACCAGGTACTTGGATATAAGCTTCAGTTTAAGTGTAAAAGCTAGTAATACTACTTGATTACTACTCAAGGAGAAATAGACAAAGTTTAAACTTTGAACTTAGTGATCAAACATTAAACATTTAGTCATCAAACTATTAACTCCGCCTAGAGTCCCTCCAGGGGCTACTGCCGGTCCCAAGCCCGGATAAAGGAGGAGGTTTGGGCATTGGGTTAGCAACCCTATCCCGTAGAAAACTAACTCACTAAAAAACGCTAACCAGAAATATTATTCATTAAACTATTCAGTCTTGGGTGCTGTTAGAGGTATGAGGGCGGTTATCACTTCCGGTTGCCCACACCGTGGAAGGGTTCTTCTGGAGGTACCTGAAAAGGAAATTGGATTAGAGGTGGTCTCAGTGACCTGAGAGCGTGACCGCAGTGCCCAAGGGACAACTGCTTGAGGCCGGTCGCGCACGGCCTTTTCGTGGAAGGTTTCTAACGTGTTAGCTCCGTTCTTCAAAGGGCCTTACCGCCGGAGACGGAAATCCGTGAGGTAAGGTGAGGTGTGCATTTTTAGGGTCGACCTTTTCTAACCCCACCCCTCCTTGTGGGAAGGCAGCATCGCTGTCATGCTGGTTGTCTGAAGGAAACACCTTACTGCTGTCACACCTCTGTACAGTCAGCAGTACGACTTCGCCTTCGGACCTTGGGTTTGTTGCTTTTAGTCTTACCGCTCTTCAACCGACCTGTCTGACATGGTAGGACCTTGAGGAACGGTTGTTCCAGCCAGTATAGCTCGGTTGCTTCATCACGATAGGCAAGCCCGACCACCACGTCAAGGTAGCAACAACGGTCGGGCATAGCAACAACGGTCGGGAAAACTATTACTGTATTCACTATACTTTTACTGTCACAAAAAGATTTTAATACAATAATTAATTCAATTTATAAATGACTATTGATTTACTTTTTCATTAAATTTGATAGTCCAGTTAAACGAGAAATAACAGCAAATGGATCTTCTATCATTTTCTTATTTACATTTTGATGAATATTTGTCTCACAAGATGATGATGATGAAGAAGAAGAAGTTGAAATGGGTAGATTTTTAATAGAATTTAATGAATTCATTATTATATCTTGTTGAATATTATTAGGTGATAATAATGGAATATTACTATTAGACAATGAAGAAGTCATATCATTCTCAATAGATAATGATGATGATGTGGAAATTGACAGTGGTATAGATAAAAAAGGAGAAATAAATGAAGAAATTGATGTCGTCATAACATTAGAAGAAAAATTGAATGATGACGATGATGATGATAACGACGATGAGGAGGAAGATGATTTTGACGATTGTAAAGATGATGATTGACATAGATTTTTTAATATATCAATAGCGGATAATTTTTCCGACTGGATAATTTCACAAGAATTGACAGATGATTGTTCAGAAGATTTTGTCAACTCACTACTACTGTTGCTACTAGCACTACTGGTAATAGTCGTATTGATCTGTTGCAAATTCAATAACATTGGTGGTGGTGCTGGAGGTTGTGGAATGAATGAGTCGGATTTGGTCACAGGTAAGATATGATGCTGATGATAAGCTAGTTCATTTAATGTTGAAGGAAGGGGAGGTGGTGGACTGAAAGAATGTTGACCATCTAATTCCCCAACAACAAATGGTGGAGGCGCCGGAGGAGGAGGAATACGTACAGACGTAGGCGGTCGTGGTGGAGTTGGTTGCATAAAAGATTCAGATGGCACAGTCAAACCTAATACTGGATTGTTGGGTGAAATAGTAGGGGTTGTAGGATTATTATCAGATGCTGTTCCAGTTATCTATGAAAAAAAAGTCAGAAAGACCGTAAGGGAACGGTATCTTGTTCATACTGAATAGAAGTTGTTATGAACAGACAAATTAGTGGTGTCATGGACATACAATGCTGAGGAGTTGCATACTAGGATGAAACAACTGTCCACTTTTCTCGGATTTTTAGTAGTTGTCGAACTAAAGTCACTCCGTGGTGTAAACCACAAAACTAACATTCCTATAAATGTTTACAAACGGTCTCACTGAATATGATAAGAAACAACCACATTAATTCTTTCTGAAATCGTTGGAAAACTAATCCGTTAATTAATTAATTTTTAATTGCAAAGCTTCATGACTCAATCTAAACTAATTCAATGTATTACGCTACTATAAATCAACTTGATTAACACAATTTATGAAATTTGGGAATAATTTACGATTATTAGAGTTTCCGAAAAAATCTTATAGAATCATACAACTTTTAAGTGTAACTACGCTATAATCAGCTTATTATTATTATTATTATTATTATTATTATTATTATTATTATTATTATTATTATTATTATTATTATTATTATTAGTATTATCATTATCAACCTCAGTTTGAGTTTGAAAGAAAGTACACAAGGACAGATACCATCAGTAGTCGACGACGCGTCACACATCCAATGATTTACAAAACAATATATTATGCTATACTGTTGTTCCTAACTCATCTGTGATGGACACAACGTATAAACAATTAAACTAATCTCAATCAAAACCTTTCAATTAGACAATAACTTTGATAATCAGGAAAAACAAACATACAACTTACGCAGTTTATTGGTTTCATTACATTACATTTCACTTTAGTAATATACGCCAATCTTTATCTTGTGAGCATACATCAGACTGATCATTTGGATTTACTTTTTTATCCAGTATGCTTTGATTTGTTATATCAGAAGGTTCTTCGCCATCTGATACTTCCATATTATCTTCTTCATCATCAACAGCGGTATGACTTGTTTTATTTATCATCTTATCATGACCATGTTGTTGTTGATGATGATAATCACTGACAGTATCTTTATTATTCTGAGTATTTGAACTGGTACAAGTTGAATAAACAGTTTTATGTAAACTTTTAAATTTATGCGAATAATCGTTGGCATTAACAACAACGGAAGTGTCATGAGGATTCATTTTAGGCATATTTGATAAAGAATTAATAGGGTTAACTTCTGAAGGATTGGTAACTATTGGATCTTGTAATTTTGAAGTTGGGATCATTTCCGGTCTATGTGGGTAAGATTGAATTATAAAAAATGTGTCGTAAAATAGCAACCATTAAAAGTATTAGAAGTTAATATTCCTCACGAGCCACTTACCTGCTTTATCCTACATTACGGCTCTTTTAGATATAACATACAGATAACTTTTCAGAGATTTTTTAGCGATTTAGAAAACGCAGTCCTCTGATAGCTTTGAGAAACAATACAAGCGTGATTGTGATTCATTTCTCTAATTCTAAGTGGAAGATGTTGCTTTAGAACTGGTCTTAGTTAACGTCTAAGCCAATGATAAGAGGAAGCTGTTGAGTACATGGATATCTCATCAACTGTGGTGAGTTGGTATCTGGCAAAATTTATTACAGGTTGATAAAGTTCGTTTAGCTTTTATCAACTTGAGTCATTTATGGTGTCTCCCTACAAACGAAGCTCTGAGTAAGCTTGATAACTTTAGACCGTTGAGAAAGAATCCATTGTAATGAAAATTAGGAACTTGATTGGTAATGTTACACCACCTGACAATTGGTGATAACTGTTTTAATTCCTCTGTACGACTAGCCTCGAACGTCCTGGCACAGGAGAGAGTAGTAAGTTTGCTCTCCCTCTCGCAGTACTCACATATGACGACGTCTATATTGTCACTTCCAGGGTAGTCTTACTTTCCTTCTGGCGGCGGCGTTGTTGACGAAATTGAGAGGATGCAAAATGAATGGCCGAAGCTTAAACCGGGTTGGTGGGCACGGAGGATGTGCCTCGAAGAGATGGAAAGCCCTTATTCAAAATCAGTGGTAAACATGGGTTTCGGGAACCTGAGGGAACAAATGGAGTATGAACCTATTCTTGATCACCGGGTACCATGAGACTGCATTATCTAACGTTGCTCCACTGCCATATAGATTATACCTGTATTTAAAACTCTAGTGAATTCGCTCTCCATCTGCCCATTTAAAACCTTGTTTCACATGCGTTTATCAAAGGACCCTGTCGCATCTTCGTCTGGTCGCACTGAGCGCTACAGCTGAGGCAGCACTGATTGATTGGATCTCCATTAACAGTCAATTATGTGTTGTTAGATTTAGAAGGTCCCAGCAAAGTAATAACAAGTCGGTGTGAGGAAAGATGTCTTTTTGTTACTTCCACTTACGTCCCGACACATTGCAACCCGGATGCGATCAAGGATGAATCCTGCCACCAGTTAAGTGCTCTTCTACAGAAAGTGCGTTCAACAGATATTGTAGTACTAGCCGGAGACTTGAGTGTTCAGGTCGGGCGTCTAGGCACAGAGGAGAGTCGTTTAGGTGGCCGATGGGGACTTGTTGGTCGCAGATCAGATGACGATGACCATCTACAGCAACTTTTCGCAGATTACAAACTGTTCCTGGCTAGCACTAACTACCGGAATAGTCATAGCGGTGTTACCTGGCGTCCTCCCTCTGGATCCCAAACCTGGACTCAGATTGGTCACATCGTGATCGGCTAACGCTGGTGTGGTTGTGTACAAGACTGACACTCCTTTTGGAGTACCTATTTGGACTCTGGTCATGCCTTTGTTTGCGCCAACCTTACTTTACGTTTCAGTTAGCCAATAAACTTATCGTCCTAAACGGATTGATGTCAGCAAATTGGCTGCAATTTCTGTTGTAAATAAATATCAAGCCGAGCTAAGTTCAGAGAAAACTATCAACCCACCAGAAAGTATAGATGAGCACTGGCTGGATTTGGATGACTCAATGAAAGTGGTGAGCAAAGTAGCTTGAGGTCCCATACACACTCAGGGAGTTGCTCTAATGCTGTCCAAAGTAGCAAGAAATGCACTTGTAGGATGGAAATCTCACGGATCCAGAATCATCAGAGCATCATTCAAAACACAGAAGGAGGGAATCACAATGAATATTATCCAATGTCATGCCCCCACCAATGATAGCAACGATGACATTAAAGATCAATTCTACGAGCGGCTGCAATCAATCATAGAGAAGTGCCCCCAAATGCCCTGGTATGGCCGAGAGTGGGGTGGGCCCGCCCTCCTCTCGAAATGCTCTCACACGGCCACGCGTATATAGCCTCTGCCAACGAAGTCCTACTCACTGCCTTCTCGTGGCACTACTGGTGTTTACAAATGAGAGGACGAAAAGCGAATGTCCGGTGCTTTAACCGGATTCCAAACCAATGGTGCACATGGGCTCCAGTATCCTGCGGGAACAAATGGCGTATGAACCAATCGTTGGTTACCGGCTTCCATGGGACTGCATCTCCTCACGATGTTCCACCACCTTGTGGATCAGACCTTCGGGTCGAAGGCTCGTGGAGTGGCCCCCTAAGATAACCACCTGCTTCGGTCTGGGCATCCGAGCAGTATCACAGCCCGCACACAAATATAATGAACTGTCGATAATTATGGAAAATACTTTTCTTGCTTCAACTATTAATCAGACGATTCACATTATTATTATTACTATTGTTATTATTTGCTACATCATTTATTCACTCTCTTTTATTCCTACTCTGTCTATCCTTATTTTTCGACTTATACAGCAGCTCGTCTATGGTGGAAATTCGGTTCTATCTAAACGTTCTCGAGTAGAGACGTATTCAGATATGGCTGAGAATAGAAGCCAGTGGCGATCCTACTGTAACCTTTTACTTTCTTCATAAAAAGTGGTTGCTTCTTCCTTAACTGAAAGATCTCGTCTGAGTGTACGTTCCTGTTTCCCCGATTATTATTATTACACTACCTTACACTAATCTGTTCGTTATGGTTTTTTTTACGCTCCTTACCTTTTTTTTCCTTCTCTGCAAATTGTCATTGTTTTGTGTGGCGCATATATATTTGGTGCCCTCCTGTACCAATATTTATGTGTTTAAATAAATAAATAAATGCCGAAGAAAGAACCTCACCATTCTGGTGGGAGATCTAAACGCCAAAGTCGGAATAGACAACACCGGATATGAAGATATCATCAGACGGCATGGACTGGGAAAAAGAAACGAGGATAGCGACAGATTTGCAAATCTGTGCATCCAACAAAATGGTTACAGGCGGCACAATATTCCTATACAAACGTATACACAAAGCTACATGGGTATCACCGGACCACACTACAAAGAACCAGATCAATAATATTTGCACCACTAAAAGATTCAGGCCAATGGAAGACGTGAGAAGGAGAGAATCTGACATAGCTTCAGATCACCATCTACCTGCTGTGGCCAAGATGAAAATGAAACTAAAAAAACACTGGACAGCTGGGGAAACAGCAGTACAAAGGTTCAATACAGCCTTCCTACAAGATCCTGACAAACTCAACGAATTCAAGATAACTACCAACAACAGGTGACAAGCCTCACAGGATCTACTGAGAGAGGGAACTACTATGACAAGCAACTAGAAAGCGATCAATCAAGCACTAATTTCAAGGTTTCAGGTGCTGGACGGCAACGAGCAACATCATAAGGAATGGATCTCTATCGAAACCCCGGACAAGATTCAAGAAAGGAAGAACAAGAATACAACAATTGACAACAACCAAACAAGAGCAGGTAAATTTAGGGCACAGGCTGAATACACTGAAGCAGCCAAGCAAGTGGGGAGGAGCATTAGAGCTGACAAGCAGAAATATGTGGAAGACCTAACAAAGACAGTGGATAAAATTGCAAGAGAAGGAATTATTTATTTTATTTTAACACATAGATAATGGTACAAGGAGGCACCAAATACATATGCGCCACACAGATCTCATTTGATTTGTGTGAGGGCTGTGATACTGCCCGGGTGCCCGAACCGAAGCAGGTGGTTTTCTTAGGAGGGCCACTCCACGAGCCTTCGACCTGAAGGTCTGATCCACAAGGCAGTGGAACATCGTAAGGAGATGCAGTCCCATGGAAGCCGGTGACCAACGATTGGTTCATACGCCATTTGTTCCCGCAGGATACTGGAGCCCATGTGCACCATTGGTTTGGAATCCGGTTAAAGCACCGGACATTCGCTTTTCGTCCTCTCATTTGTAAACACCAGTAGTGCCACGAGAAGGCAGTGAGTAGTACTTCACTGGCAGAGGCTATATACGCGTGGCCATGTGAGAGCATATCGAGAGGGAGAGCGGACTCTCCCCACTCTCAACCGTACCAGGGCATTTAGGGGAAACATAAAATAACAAAACTAACAGGCAAGTATAGTAAACTGGAGTGACAGGTCAAGGACAAAGAAGGCAAGCCAAGTACTGCGATTCAAAAACAGAGGAACAGATCAGTAGGGCACTTTGAGGAACTCTTGAATGGACCAGCCCCACTGAATTCACCGAACGTCGAAAGCAGAACAAACAAACCTTTCGATAGATGTAACTCCACCAACGATCGAAGAAATCAGAATGGCCATCAGATAAATCAAGAGTGTGAAAGCAGAAGAACCTGACAATAAACCAACTGAAGAACTGCAGCCAGACACAGAAGCAACTGCAAACATGCTTCATACACCATTCAAGAAGATCTGGGAAGAAGAACAAGTCCCATCGACAGACTAGAGATAATGATACCTCATCAAGATATCAAAGAAAGAAGATCTGAGCAAGTGTGAGAACTACAGAAGCATCACACTGCTATCGGTACCAAGAAAAGTTCTTAACAAAGTGCTATCGGACCGGATGAAAGATTTAGTAGACGCTCAACTTCGAGATCAACGGACCGGATTCCGCAAGGATCGGTCATTCACAGACCGAATCGCCACACCATGGATCATCTTTGTGTAATCAATTGAATGGAACTTGTCAATATACATCAACTTTATTAACTAAGAGAAAGCATTTGACAGTGTGGATAGGAGGACCTTATGGAACACTTTTCGACAATATGGAGTGAGTAGCTGAGATCGCCAACATCACCTGGAATTCATACGACGAACCACACTGCAAAGTGGTGGATGAGAGACAACTGACAGACGCATTCCAAGTAAGGACCGGATTCAGAAAAGGCTGCCTAAATCTCACCCTTTCTCTTTCTTCTGGTGGTTGACCGGATTATGAAAACCTCGACATCTGAGGGGAAGCACGGAATACAATGGACAGGTTGGATGCAACTAGACGATTTGGACTTCGCAGATCACTTACCTCTCCCATCCCATGCACACCAAGAAATGAAAGTCAAAACGGACAGTGTAGCAGAAGCCTCTACATCAGTAGGCCTCAATATATACAAGGGAAAAAGGAAAATCATCCAATACAACACAGAGAACACCAGTCCAATCACACTTGATGAAGAAACTCTGGAAGAGGTGGAAACTTTCACGTACCTACCCGGACAGTATCATCGATGAACAAGGATGATCTGACGTAAAGTCAAGGATCGGCAAAGTAAGGGTAGCATCCCCACAGTTAAAGAACATATGGAACTCAAAACAACTGTCAACTGATATCAAAGTAAAAATCTGAATTCCTAACGTCAAGATAGTTCTACTGTACAGCGGTGAAACTTCAAGAACTACTACGACTATCACCAAAGAAGTACAAGTATTTATAAATCATTGTCTAGGCAGAATACTCAATGTCCGTTGATCGGATACTATCAGCAACAGCTTACTGTGGAAGCGAACAAATCGGTTTCCATCTGAAAAGGAAATTTTGAATTTTGCACAAAAATCTTAAATATTGTCTATTTGATTTTGACTGACTTATTCATGTACTACAATTTTATCAAATAATAATTTATATAGTATGTAAATGAATAAAGAACATCAAAATTAGTTACCTGGAATTATTATCATCATTAGTTTTAACTAAATTAGGTAATGTTGGATTTAATAATACTCGATAATCTACATCACCGGAAGCATCACAAACTGGTTGAAAAATAGGAAACCAAATGGTGTTGGCTTACAAATTGATTGAAATGTTTGGGACTGATGCATTGATGACTTGGAATCACATTCTTTACCAATTGTAGTAGAATTATTTGATTTAACAAGTAAATTGAAAATATTTGATGATTGATTATTGATTCGATTAGTTAAACTATCTGTGATTACTTTTGAGGATATATCAATCGGTGATTGATTATTAATGATGTCAGAAGAATATTCGATATCTTTTTTATTTAACAATTTTGTGTTCAATTTTTCAGTTTTGTTATTATTGTTGATACTACAGTCTTCTTTATCAACATCGATATCTTCATGGTATTCCAAGTCAACGCCAACACCATCGTTATCATCGTCGTCATCGTGATGAGTAAATCCATCATTTAAATCTTCATAATATTCATCACCTGCATAAAGTGATTCATTTAAACAGTTCTCTCTGTTGTATTTTATTGACTGTTTGTTATGATCAGGTTGACAAGTTGTAGTAGTAGTTCTAGATGGTGATGACGATGATGAAGTATGATCCATATGGATTAAATCATGCAGTTGAGAAAGTGTCTTTGTAACACGTTTTCCGTACGTACCATAGGCCTAATCGAATGAAAGACACAAAAGGCGACGTGAAGTAATTTTAAAAAAAAAAAACAGAACACAACACAAACGCTGATGCATGTTTCATTTTATAGTTACAATCTTATGTCGAATATACCATATATTCCAGGTAGTTTATCTACTTGCATATATACGTATGCAGTTATTAGTTAGCGTTAGCGTCACGAGGCAAGCCGTAACTTGGAATCCTGAAGGGAAACGGAAAAGAGGAAGGCCAAAGAACACATTACGTCAGGAAATGGAACCAGATATGAAGAGGATGAATAACAACTAGAAAGGATTGCCCAAGACAGGGTTGGATAGAGAACGCTGGTGAGCTGCCTATGCTCATTCATGAGGAGTAACAGGCGTAAGTACGTTATTAATTATTTTCACTCTTTTTGTAAAAAAACTTGCTGAAATATCTTGTATTGAGAATTCTATATTGTATCAAAAGTATACTATTGAATAAAGCTATTTATATTAATAATAATAACAATCTGTTTATCATCCCAGAATTAGTTGGTTCAACTAAAATAAAATAATAAAACTGATTGGGATTGGACATTAACATCGTTGGATTCCGACTCAGTGGTCTATAGGTTAAACATTCGCGTACGAGATCAAAGGTCCTAGTCTCGAGTCCCGCCTACGGGATAGTGGATGAGCACTGCTGAGGAGTTCCACACTAGGATCGAACAGCCGTCTGGTGCTTTCAGGTTTTGAATGGTAATCTAACTTAGATGGATTCATGATTTCAATGTAATACAACTGTGTTAGATAAGTAATGCCATAGAACTTACATTCACAACGACAGCAACTTCTTTCAATTGTACATTATAATAAATTTCTGCACCTTCTAGTATACTTTGCAACGCATTCATATGTTCCAAGCGTTCTTCATATTTCTTATATATAAATTCTAAATGTTTACAACACTTATCACCTAATTGTTTAAAAAAAACGTTAACGAAAATAACAAGAGTATTAGTGAAATAACTACAAGAGGCTAAATGTTTACGATCGTAAATTATCACACTTTATTGGTTACAGAGTCAGTCAGTCAGTCAGTAACAACGTAGAACTTCGTACGTACGTACATCAGTTCGAGTTGCCACACCACATTAGCACAGAGATGCAGTGGTCGATTCAAATCCCGTAGTGGTAGAGGTAATAAGAGTATAAGCAGTAATCGGGAAGATTAGGGTTTGGAGATGTTATTTAAAGAGTATAATCCAGTGAAATAAATTTGGAAAGAGAAAAAAAGAGACGAGGAATAAGGAGATTAGAATTTGGGAGAACACAGAGAGTGGATGCACCTGCGCCATTGCAAACGATTTTGAGCCATGTCATTCAGGGTCTCTAACCATCGGTTGCTATCATCTCGCGGTCCCCAACCAGGTAGTCTACACCTACCAACATGACTCAGTCCACTTGTCAGTGACTTCATGGACTTGTGCCATGTTTTGGTCTGGCCGCCCCTAGCTTTCTTCCAACCTACTCCTATACCACTGAACATAGCACGTCGAGGCAGTCGGTCGTTGGGCATACGTAACACGTGTCCCAGCCATCTCAACTGATGAAGTTTCACTACTTCATCAATTGATTTGCCATCCTTACCTAGTACCCGTTTCCTAACAACTGCGTTACTTACTCGATGGTCCCATGATATACGAGCAATGTTTCGAAGACACCTATGATCAAATACTAGTAACCTACGAATATCCTCTACTCTTACCGGCCATGTTTCACTGCCATAAAGTAGGACGGAACGAACTGCTGCGCAGTAAACCCGTCCTTTGGTTGATAGACGGATATCTCGCCTACGCCATAAATGACGCAAGTTGGCAAAAGCTAGTCGAGCCTTCTGTATCCGTGCTGAGATTTCGTCACACACCAACCACAAGGGCTGATGAGACTTCCAAGATAAGTGAAGCGGTCGACACACTCAACTACTTCACTCCCTATCACTAGTTCGGGTGTCGATGTAACCCAATCCTGAAGCAACATTTTGCATTTCGAGGGGGAGAATCGCATCCCGAACATGCTTGCATTGTTGCTTAGAGTGGTCAGAAGACTCTGCATTTTGTCAGCGTCTTCACCAAATAAAACTATGTCATCAGCATATTCTAAGTCAACAAGTGAACCTCCCGGTAGAAGTTCAACCCCTGGAAATTTAGATGAGGAGAGTGTTATCTCTAAAAGTACGTCGACAAAGTTGAACAAGAATGGGGAGAGTGGACAGCCCTGACGAACACCACTTGAGGTAATCAATTCTGATGACAGTTCGCCATAAGCTCTCACTCTACCAGTTGTGTTCGAGTAGAGAGCCTTTATAAGGTTAATGTACTTCTTTGGTACTCCTTTCAGTGACAAACACTGCCATAGAACCTCACGATCAACAGAGTCGAATGCCGCCTTAAGGTCGAGAAATACTACCATTGTGGGGCGTCTGAATGTGTGTCTGTGTTCTAGAACCTGACGTAGTGTGAATATCTGATCTATACAACCACGTCCAGGTCGAAAACCAGCCTGGTTTTCTCTAGTCTGCTCTTCACGAGCTTTGTTAGGCGTCGAAGTATTATTGAAGCTAATATTTTAGACACTATATTAGTCAAACTGATTCCTCTGTGATTGTCACAAGAGGACTTTTGTCCTTTCTTATAGACTGGCACAATCAGTGATTGAGACCAGTCAGATGGGATTACGTCCAGTTCCCAAATTCTACCTAAGACCTCAGTTAATCTCATTGCTAATACTGGACCACCATCCTTAAAAATCTCAGGAGTAAACCTGTCAGGGCCTGCTGCTCTCCCTCGTTTCAGATTTCCTATGGCTTTTTCAACTTCGTAAAGAGCGGAGGACCTACATTAACTTGCCATTCAGGTTGACTGGAGATCGTGGGAAACCGAAGTGTGGCTGAAGGCCAGTTGAACTGATCCCTAAAGTGTTCTGCCCATCGATCCAATCTCCTGGATTGAGAATGTATAATATGTCCATCTTTCTCTGAGATTGTTTCGCTAACAGTCGGTTTCCTTAACAAGTCTGAACAATTGTCTGCTATTACCTATTGCCGCTGCCTTTTCCATCTCTCTTGCTTTCGCTACCCACCACTGTTCACGATCATTGCGTAGACTTCTTGTCAGCTTGCGCTTAAGCTGACTCCGCTCTTCATTATGTTCAGAGCCAGGTGGAATGAGTTTCCGAGCATCTATCAGTGCGATAGATGCTGCTGAGATCCAGTGTTGCTCCCTAACCTTACGGGCAGATATCACTGCTGTTTCCACAGCTTTTCGGATATCATTCCATGCTGCATCGGGGTGGGCATCACATACATGGCTGCCTAACTGTTTTCCTAGTTGTTCCTGAAATATACTCTTAGCTTGACCCCTAAGAGGTTTCCTTGCAGCGTCTTTCCTACGTCCAGTAAGACGCAAGCAATACGCGCTCGCACTAGAGCATGATCTGAATCTAGGCATGTGCTCCAGAATGAGCGACAGTCTTCTATCGAGCCCCTCCATCGGTGGCTGATAGCGATGTGATCTATTTGGGTCCAACGTTGGGACGAATTAGGGGGTCGCCATGTTAAAAGATGTTTTTCCTTATGCTTAAAGTTAGTATTTGCAAGGAACAGGCGGTTATCTGAGCATAGCTGCAACAGACGGTCGCCATTATCTGTTCTTTGAGCCACGACACCATAAGATCCACCTAGGTGTCTTTCCCTATCGCTTAGTTTACCTACTTGAGCATTAAAGTCACCGGCCACTATTACTACATCCGAGCGCCTAGCTTTTCGGAGAAGGTCGAAGAGCTTTCTGTAAAACTCATCTTTTACATCATCTGAGCTGCAGTCAGTGGGAGAATAGGCAGAGACGACGAAGAGGCAACGACGAGTGTCCCTATCTTTCCGGATTCTTACTGTTCCGTTCAGTCGGACAGCGCACAAACGACTGTCTACTGGGATCCACTCTAAGAGAGCTAGTTCTGCCCTAGGACTCAATGCTATACCTACGCCGGCGAGGCCACGGGAAGCAGAATCAGGGCTTCCAGATACACGAAGCGTAAATCGAGTCGGTTCTTTATTTTGGCATGGTGAGGTCAAATGAATGACGCTACTCGGATCCTGTATGCGCGTTTCGGAGACGCAGCACACATCGATGGCGCGAGATTCTAAAGTTAGCTAAGGAAGCCTGCTGTCCTATTTGGCAAAGTGTTCGTACGTTAAAAGCTCCTACGTGTAGTTTAGAGCGTGGTTTCAGGAGACCAGGAATGGCGTTCCACGTACTCGAATCGTTTGCCCTAGCGGTGCGAGGTGATAAAGAGACGTGAGGAGGGTTAGTCATGGAGATAAGAGAGGTATTAGGAGGTGTAGGAAGGATTTGAATGTGACCAACTTGGTCTCGTGTGCTGTTACGGGTATGAGGGCTGATGTCACTTCCCGGCTGCCCACACCGTGGAAGGGTATTTCTTGAGGAACCTGAAAAGGAAATTGGATTAGTGTTGGTCTTGACGACCTGGGAGCGTGACCGCAGAGCCCAAGGGACAACTGCTTGAGGCCGGTCGCGCACGGCCTTTTCGTGGAAGGTTTTTAACGTGTTAGCTCCGTTCTTCAAAGGGCCTTACCGCCGGAGACGGAAATCCGTGAGGTAAGGTGAGGTGTGACATTTTTAGGGTCGACCTTTTCTAACCCCACCCCTCCTTGTGGGAAGGCAGCATCGCTGTCATGCTGGTTGTCCGAGGGAAACACCTTACTGCTGTCACACCCCTCTACAGTCAGCAGTACGACTTCGCCCTCAGACCTTGAGTTGCTGCTTTTAGTCTTACCGTTCTCCAATCGACCTGCCTGGCATGGTAGAACCTACAGGAACATATGTTCCAGCCAATATAGCTCGGTTGGGTCATCACGATAGGCAAGCCCGACCACCGCGTCAACGTAGCAGCTTCGGTCGGTTACAGATCAATTATTTGTGTGCGTATCAAAGACATGGTACATTGTTTAATAATTTAATCATGACCGGTTGTTACTTCTAGATTCAAACACTATGTGCAAAGATACAAATTTCAGATAGTCATGATCGGTGTAAGGTCTGACATAAACGTTTAATAATTCGAACTCACCACACCACATCAGTATAGCAAGACAGGAGATTAACCAAATCAATAATGAAGGTGTTAAAATAATGAGAATATCAAACTTAACTTTTTAATGATAGCTCTTCAAATATCTACCCGTATTTCCTTGCGACATCACAGTAACAGTGAGGAAGGCAATCTTCATTTTTGCCATTAGAATATTGCTATGTTTGAAGAGATTACAAGATCAACTAAATCGGCGAACGGAACGAAGGATCAATGACACTACAACAAGACAAGCTTAACTAATCCGATGTGTCCCAGCCCCACTAACCCAAAGACCCGGTTCCGATGAAGGAAAGGTATATTCAACAAGCAGCCAGAAATATGAACAACAAGCACACAGCTCAAGCGCATAAGTACAGCATAAAAATGTCCTTGGGAAATGTCACAAAATAGCATATTAAAATAGGGGACGAACCAACGGCATTTAGGATCCCTTAAAATGGGAAATACAATCTGAAGATAAAAATGAGCGCTTTTGGCGCAAAAATAAGAAATTTGAAATTACAAAAATACGACGTTTATCAAGTGATTTCTGGGGATCTAGCATCCATAACATATATTCAGTAGGATAAATAATTCGTAATAATACTGTTGTGGGTAGTGCGTCAACGTGTCTGTTAAGTAGTCCAAACTAGTCGCGTGGTAATCTGTAAGTATATGACAGCTAGGTGAATGTAGTAGTAAGATGTATTTTATAGGATTATCGGTGTGAAATACAATAGTGAAATATTTGTAACGACCAACTATATTAAGGATAGGAGGTCTTACTACCTTGAATTTAACTTTAGATAAGCAGTTTAAAAAGTTCAAAATGATGGTTTAGAAAATTCCCATTTTGGTTGATTCTAGTCAAAGTTTCGCGAAATAATGTATTTCGCAAAGATTTAAACAAACATCTTAAATAAGGCGTTTTTTTCCATTTAGTTCGTTATATAAAATGAACGGTCATTTCACTAGACACTAAATTACTGTAAGAATAAATATGGTCAAATGAGAACGTTTAGGTGTTGATTCCCACATTCGACTGGATAAAACGAAATTATCCAGTGGATTATTCGAAATGTATTATTTGTACTCACTTGATGACCCATATAACAATTAGATGGACCAGTCTAAAACCTTCAACTGACCTTAACTAGTATCCCTTCCTAACCAGATGAGATGATATTCAGTGACGGACATACTTGATTGTATGCTTGATGCAACTAGTTCCATAGAAGCCAAATTGGCAAGTGAATGTGGATGAGGTGGAATTAGGAAATGTATTCTTATTTTCGGTCATAACGATCAGTTGGTTGTGAAATAGGGCATATAACTTAGCTGAACATTTATTGTAGCTTTCTCCACCCATTTTGTCATTAATTTAGTAGAACTGTCGTTTAATAATCGTAAATTCAAGAATACACGTTTATTAGAAACTGTGGTTATCTCTGATTTTATCCCAGCCCGGGGGTCATATGACTAATGTTAAGTCTTAATGTTACTTTGAATTATAGCTAATGCAAATTGAAACTGCCAAGTAAACAAAACTGGTGTTGTATAATATTTTACAGATTACTTCACGGTAAAGTCATATGATTATTTACCAGATAAGAGCACGTCATGAAATTACATAAAACTTTAGACATACTATTTGATATGTCTTGTCATTTAATGCTACTTGTTATATCTGGTCGTCGCTGATTGTTGTGTCGGAAATGCTTATCACTTATACTCGGAACGAGGGACCTCTCCAATTCCCACGACACGACAGTAAGAACACAAAGACTGAAAGTGAAAATTTATTAACCCCCAAAACACAACGATGACGACGATCAGATATAAAAAGTAGCATTAAACGACAAGACATACCAGTGGCGATGGGGATGGGATTTCGGAAAAAATTGAGAAGACATATTACTATTATTTCAAAGTTGTTGTCATACTACTATGAACAAAGCTACAGTAGTAAAGCAGTATATACTAAAGAAAAGCTAAGGAGAGATATTTTTTATTTATTTGGACACATAAATATGTATGCGCCACACAAAACAATGAGAATTCAAAGAGAAGGAAAAAGAAAAAAGGTAAGGAGAGTAGAAAAAAAACAATAACGAAGAGATTGGTGTAAGGTAGTGTAATAATAATAATAATGGTAATAATGGGGAAACAGAAAGGTACAACCAGAAGAAATCATTCAGTTAAGGAAGATACAACCACTTTTTATGAAGAAAGTAAAAGAAGGTTACAGCAGGAGCGCCACTGGCTTCTATTCTGAGCCATATCTGATAACGTCTCTAGCCACTGTGTAGCACCATCTCTCGGACCCCAGCCAGGGAGTCGTGAAGGACCAACACAAGCCAGTCCTTTGCAGCTTTCTTTCATGCCACGACACCATGTTATACACTGACCACCTCTCCGCTTTTTCCAACCAGTCCCAGTGTCGGCAAATAATGCATGACGTGGAGTTCTCTGGGACGACATTCGTAGAACATGTCCAAACCACCGAAGTCGGTGTTTCAAGATGGTGACACTAATTGCATTATCGTCTCTGTGCCCGAATACACGATGCCAAACCTCTGCATTACTAACATAGTGTTGCCACTGGATGTCAGTAATCCTTCGGAGAGAGCGGTGATCGAACACAGAGAGTCGTCTAACGTCCTCAACTCGGAGAGACCAGGTTTCACAGTCATAGAGCAAAACTGCTCTCACCGACGCGTTGTAGATTCAACCTTTTACAGCCAGACTAGCATCACGAATGCGTCAAAGATGGCCCAGATTGGCATAAGCCGCTCTGGCTTTCACTATACGTGCATTGATCTCATCACTCACACCCCACCAGCAATTATGCAGCTACCCAGATACACGAACTTCTCGACTACGTCTATCTGCTCACCATCCAGGGTGAGTACAGGATTGGAATCCTGTCAGTCTTGTAGAAGTACTTTGCACTTCGAAGGTGCAAAGCACATACCATACCTACGGACACTGATTGCCAACTGATTAAGTGCGGATTGCATGCCTTGGGCATTATCGCGCAGTAAGACAATATCGTCCACATACTCAAGGTCGAGAAGTCTTTCTCCAGGCAACAGATCCACACCACCATTACTTAAATTCATCAGAGCTGTTTCCAGAATGTCGTCGATGGCAAATTTGAAGAGGAATGGTGAGATTGGGCAACCCTGCCTAACCCCACTGCTCGAATGGAACAATGGAGAGAGGTGGTTGTATGCCCTCACTGTGCCTGAGGTGTTTTTATATAGGGCTTTTAGGATGTTAATAAACTTCTCAGGCACACCCTTCTTCAATAGACACAAATGATGAACTGTCTATATAAGGGGAGATAACCTGAATTTTATACAAACTTCATGGGGGATGAGTGAAAAAAGGATGTACAGTAATACTAGTGGATCCCAACAGATAATTATATATATATGAGCAACAACAACAGCCATAGATAGTGATTTGTGACCAGTAAAACTGGTTACTTTACAGTTGAAAAATTAGGTTTTCAAGACAGGAGTATCAGGCATCTTTTCAATAATATTAATCTTCTGGAAAAAATTTTAGGAAGCAATAACGGGAAAATGGTTTGAAATGGAGTGAATTCGTTTCGCTTTGTTTGCTTTATATACTTTTAATATACACAGAAATCTTAGAAGGAAAGTTTTAGAAAGATGAGTTTGTATTTATTATTCATAAGGTAATTCACTTTACTAGTAAAGAATAAATATAATTACTATCCATTCAATTTATCTTGAACTTAAATTAGGCGTCAATCAAGTCCTATAATCAGGGTTTATATCCAAGCCTTTTAATTGATTCACTTTCAAAATGCGCCATGAAAGAATTTATAGTTGGCGAATACACTACTCTAACGAAAAAGTGGTTAAGTGGTTAGGGTATTCCATTTCCAGCAACCGAAATACAACTTGGACGTCCGACTAAAGGTTTGAACGATGGTAGAGAATGAATAAGACTGATTTTTTGTTATATTTTCCTACTGTATCTGTGTAATTATATTCTTAGACCTATCTACATACACAGAGATACGAGTGCTCGCGTTCATAAAAGCATCAAGATTGTGGTGCATTGTTGTTTATTTAAAAAATAAATTGTAATAAACTTACTTGACCTGTTAATGATCGACTTTCTTCTTTACTTTTTAATGAACTAACAGTTGATGAGATTGGTGTACCGTAACCAAGTGGGTTAATATCGAATTTTCCGTGTGATTCACAAATTTCATCTAGTTGTTTTATCTTGCGTAACGTATCAAGTAGCTTCTCAGGCTATTTAAGACAAAACATTAGAAGTAACTTGAAATCTATTAAAAGTTGAGTGATTGCAAAGAATATTATCTTGGAATTATGATACCGATGAACTGTAATACAGGAAAAACTTAAATTGTAATGCTGGTTGACAAGGATCCAAATACTACAGAGAGTATTAGTTGCCCTAGGTTTCTAAACACACCTTTTTACCAGTCACCAACTAGCATAGTCCAATGTTTCCTGATAATCACCTTCAGCTATATGACATCGAAACATTCTATGAGATATCAGGTAACTTACATGATAGGCATAATGCAAATTGGTTGGTAGAATTTGAATAGCATTATGAGTCAGACAAATGTGACAGTGAATACTATTACGAGACTAATTAGTGCAACGAAACATGATTGTCCAGGTGTGAAAGTTAATGACACAGATTAATTTGTCAAACTGAAGATCCTTTGATTCTATCGAACAAACTAAAATACATGTAGCTTAAAAAGTATTTTTATTTATTTATTTTAACACATAGATATTGGTACAAGGAGGCACCAAATACATATGCGCCACACAAATCTCATTCGATATGTGTGAGGGCTGTGATACTGACCGGGTACCCAAACAGAAGCAGGTGGTTTTCTTAGGGGGCCACACCCTGAGCCTTCGACCTGAAGGTCTGATCCACAAGGCAGTGGAACATCGTAAGGAGATGCAGTCCCATGGAAGCCGGTGACCAACAATTGGTTCATACGCCATTTATTCCCGCAGGATACTGGAGCCCATGTGCACCATTGGTTTGGAATCCGGTTAAAGCACCGGACATTCGCTTTTCGTCCTCTCATTTTCGTAAACAACAGTAGTGCCACGAGAAGGCAGTGAGTAGTACTTCCCTGGTAGAGGCTATATACGCGTGGCCACGTGAGAGCATTTCGAGGGAGAGCGGACTCTCCCCACTGTCAACCGTACCGGGGCATTTGGGGGCTTTAAAAAGTATGCACCTAATCAAACTATCAACCATATCTAACTTATTGTTACTATAGTGTAACCTGATCGATAGAATTTAACTATCCTCATGGACTGGAAAAAAATGACACCAGTTTACTAATTGGTGATCGAATTCCCTGGATTAAGTTCCCAAAGGGGTTCGAGAGTTTGATCTACAAAGTGGTTATAAACACGGATGAAATAAATATTTTGTAAATCCCTAATAGCCATCAACTATTTTCATAGATATGATGTGGTTTAAAAAAGAGCAAGCGTATTTTAGTGGTTAACTTAATTACTTACATTAAAGTTTTTAACTATACTATCTGCATTACTATTATAATGTGATGTTGGAGTTATATTTTTCTTATCGACTTGTTCTGTAGCATCTAAAAAAGGAAAAATACTAATATACATGAAAGAAATGACTTACTTAGTTTCTGTAAAAGCTGTTCAGTAAACTTGGTATCGAAGACTTTACGATAGGTCCAGTAATTAATCAACTTTGTAAGCTTAGATATAAATGGCCCAGGTCTGTATATATGTGCTCAATTTTAAGAAACAACAAAACTAACTTTAAAAATTGTGCTGCTTGCGTTACGACAGGTTTTAGTGCTTCACCGAATTCAGAGACGCCATATTTAGAACTTTTAGTAAGAATTTCATTTGCCACATAAAGTAGAGCTAATTGGAAACTTGGATTGTTAGCTAGCACGATAAAAAGAAAGATGATGAACAGAATGTATTTTATTGCCCAAAATAATTACATTACAACGCAATATACATGATAAGCTGATTAAAAACAACCGACAATGATATCAATACTCAATGTTACTTTCATTTGGAATTTTATCGTGTTTGTACCCTGTTACTGTGTTAAAGCGAATTATAGGAGCTGGAATCGATTTTCGATTACACTAGATCCTACGTTGTCCGCGAACGAGACCGACTGGCTAGTCAGCGTTGCGTAACGAGCACGTGAACAACTCGATTATAGTCTCATAGTTTCCATGAGTTGTAATTGTCTAATCAATGGAAGTTATTACTTGGAGTCTATATTCAGATTAAAATAATCACACTATCCTATGATAACAATGCTTATAGGAGTCCTAACTAGGCATTTTTATGGGGTCCAGACGATCAAAATACAATTAGTTATTAGATGTGAACGTGATGTAATTTGGTTGTTTTCCATTTCATCCCTTCCCTGTAACTATTCAGCATGTTAGCTATCTTCTCGTTTCTGTTCAGTCTGGGGCTTAAGCCAATAATTTGGTCTCGTAAGGAGGTATCAGTTGACTAAACATACATAAAAATTCCACTCTATCTATTAAACATATTGTATTTACTTATTATAACAGTTCAAAAACTCAATGATCAAATCCTAATTCACTGAACAATAATAGACCTAAGCCTAGCCTTACAGACTACCACTGGGTAGCCGAATAGTACGAAAACGACCATTGACTACAGATGAGTCAGTCTACCATGAAAACATTGAAGTGTTTACTGAGTGCCAAAGCCATATTTTCTTTGGATAAGTAGAAGTTTGTGGGGTAAAAGTAGCTATAGAAGCTACAATACTGCTCAAGGCAAGCAGATATAAAGCTAGAGGAAGACTAACAAGGATTTCAAGTCAGGGCTTGCCTTGTGATGCAGTCTGGTGGTTAGTGTAAAGTGTAACCTACTCATTTCCAACGTCTTTCTCAGCAAAAGGTTAGTTTTTTCGTTAATCTGCTGTGAATTTCTCAAGTAGGAATTCCGTATTTGTTTGTAAGTAACGGACAGAACGGTAGTCAGAAACGGAATAACGTATATGGACTTAAAGAAATTAACAAACTTAAACAATGAAGCTACATATAGGATTCAGAGGAAGACAAAAAAGAATCTACCTGGAACATTGTGACCGGTTTTGAGCCATGTTCTCTAAGATCCGCGACCGTAGATTACGACTATTTCTCAGAAGAAAAACAGAAAACAGCGACCTCCTGTCACGACTACAAATCTATGTTAAGGATTGGTCTGGTCGTTTTTTGCATTGAATACGTATTCTCTGTCTAATGTTAGCCAACATGCAGGTGCTAAGATCAGTACCACATGTGATGGAGGTTTATAATGTGTGCAAAACAGAGTGGAACGAGGTCGGTGAACCAGAGATCGGTTATGAGTAGTGAAGGCATAAAAGATAACTACTAGTAGTTGAAATTGCAACTTTTCACATTTTCTATAGTGATTTTCTGAGCAGGACATTTAATCAGTATGACAGTGGCAGTGTCTGTCATTGAAAGGTGTACCTCAGAAGTACATAAACCTTGTGAAGGCTCTTTACTCGAACACTACTAGTCGAATGAGAGCTTATGGCTAACTGTCATTTGATTTGCAACCTCAAGTGATGTCTCTTAAGACTGTCCACTTTCTCCATTTTTATTTAACTTCATTATAGACCAACTGATGGAAATAACACTCTCGTCGAATGAACTCCCAGATATTGATTTCCTACTGTGAGACTCACTTGTCGACATAGAATACGCAAACGACATAGTCCTCTTTGATGAAGACGCTGATAAAATGCAGTCTTTTGAAAGCATTGAGCGAAAATATCAGAATGTTTGAAATTCGCTTTTCCCCATCTAAATGCAAGTCGTTGCTCCAGGACTGGTATGAGTCAACACCTGAACTACGATAGGGAGTGAAGTAGTCGAATATGTCGACAACACTTATCTTGGAAGTCTGATCAGACCTAATGGGTTGGTGTCTGATGAAATCTCTGCACGGATTCGAAAAGCTCGTTTAGCTTTCCCCAATTTACGTCACCAATGGCGAAGGCGAGATATCTGCCCATCAATAAAGGGTCAGTCAGTCAGTCAGTCAGTAACAACGTAGAACTTCGTACGTACGTACATCAGTTCGAGTTGCCACACCACATTAGCACAGAGATGCAGTTGTCGATTCAAATCCCGTAGTGGTAGAGGTAATAAGAGTATAAGCAGTAATCGGGAGATTAGGGTTTGGAGATGATATTTAAAGAGCTTGTGACTGAAGGCAATATCGAAGCAATCCGCACAGGATGCACATATGCCTACATCAAACTGACCACATGCAGTCCTAAACATCAATGGGAAGATACAAATAAATCAAAATCAAGTGAATTTATATGTATGTATGTATGTATATATATGCAAGAACAAGAAAGAGGTTACTTGGTGTTAAAATCAAGGAACCACTAGGAGTCGGTGATGTAATAGTTTAGTGGAGTTCAGAGACAGATAAGATAAATTGTGTGATAATTTTAGAGGTAATAAAGGATTCATGGAATTGAAAACTGATAAGATGGGTTACATAAGAAATGAATAGAATTTGAAGAGTTCACATAATTTAAGAGAATCAAGTGAGTGGAAATGTATGAGTGAAAGGGTGGTTTAAGAATTCTGCGAAACATAACCACTAAGGGTAGAAAATACTCGTAAGCTACTAGTATTTAATCACAGACGTTTTAGAAACATCGCTCGCATCTGCTGGGATCACCGGGTAAGTAATAGTGAGGTCAGACACAGGGTTTTAGGGAATGATGGTGGATCACTTGATGGATCTTCATCGACTGAGATGGTTGGACCACGTGTGACATATGTCTGAACACCGATTATCATGACGCGCAATGCTGACTAGTGTTGAGAATGACTGAAAGAAAGTAAGGGGCGACCAAACCAAAACCTGGCATCAGTCCACACAGTCACTAACTTCTGGTCTGAGCTATGTTGTTAGATGCATACTAATTGGTTGTGGTCCGCGTGACTATCGTAACCAATGGTTGGAGACTGTGGATGACATGGCTCAGAATCGATCACAATGGTGTACGTGTATACACTCTGTCTTACCTAAAACTATGGGATTAAAATTGCATTGTATCTTTCCTTCTACGAACTGATTCTTTCTTCCTGTATTATATCCTTACACAAAATCCTTCTTTTATATAGTACCACTACTGAACTAACTACTATGACTATACAACAGAAGCCAAACTTGTATACCAGTTAATTAGCGATTCTAGTTAACGAAGAAAAACAATTCACATATAAAATGAATTAGACATGAGGACACACTGAAAACCTAGAAAAAAAGTGACAGAGAAACGTTGTACAATTAAGTGAAAAATACGACATAACGATTGAAATAAGAATAATTTGCAGTTAATGTGCCAAAATGAAAATGTAGGACATACAATTTTTAAATATTTCCAACCACTGGCTTGAGATGAAATCTGAATGCTCTGCCTGGATTAGCAGAAACGATGCCACATCTTTTACGTGTTTAGATGACAAAGAAACCTCGGTCAGTTTGTGGCGTATTTGGTCTCTAAGTAAGGAATTAGCGTCCATTTGGATGCATCCAACAGATTTTGAAAATCCCGGAGTTTTCAATTACCTTGAATAGATTCAGATGTTCAATCTCCTGAAAGAAAATTAAGATTGTCGTATATAGCATCAAAAGGTTGTTTTCATCATACATTTTTTTCATCATAAAAATTTATTTTAGAGATGATTCTGGCAATCTGATCCTATTTTGGGCCGTTTACATTGATCTGATCAATGAACACGAGCGCTTTTCGAAAAAAGTGTATCATTAGCAACACGGTAGGATAGAAACGACTTTAGGTTCAAAGTTATTGAGTAGATGATTGGTTGCAGCAATATCTTCACGGGAAGTTGCAGTTAGCTGCAAGCTAATCGAGATGTGAATGAATACGTATATTATAGGGTGACTTTAACTGCAGTTCCAGCCAACTATTCGGCTCGATGACCACTAATGGAATCCAGATCTTTCACTGCCTAGTCTTCACGACTTAAACCATTCTCTGGTAATTTTCACATGGAACTCAGGTCATCTAATCTGCGTCAAGGCACAGTAAGGTGGTCTGACTTCTCGTACCACCTTGTGGATGATTAACTTCGAAATTCTGGAGTACCCACCCTCTCTACTACTTTCAGGTTGTCTGGCCGAAGTTGGAATAAGGGGTTTGGAGCTTAAAGGTGGTCCGCAAGTATAGATTTATCTAAGGTTGTGTTTAGTGTGGTGAACATTTGGGATCTGAAAACCTCAGCTGCGAGCATGGTGCATTGGGCGCTGGTCTTAACATGGTCCAATATTACCACTTTAGATAATCACGAGACCGGACCAAGACCACAGATGCTTTTCCGACCATGTAGTTGTTTGCCTCTTGGTGTCGAATGTGCATGTTATCACACCTGGCCGCATTGATCAGGGCTTGTTTTGATTCAAACGAGCTTAGCGGAAGGTATGAGTCGACCTTGAGTGCAGAGGGAACTTCATTCTCCGTTAATGTCATCAGAATAAACTGGCATTGTGGACTTAATAGTAAACGGGATTCCATATACATACAGGGACCTTCACAACTCCTTGGTTGGGGTCCTAGAAATGGTATAACGCAGTGGCTAGAAATGTCATCAGATATGGCTTACAATAGAAGCCAATGGCGATCCCGCTGTAACTTCCCTTTACTTTCTTCATAAAAATGGACGTAATTTCTTTAACCGTAAGAATTCTTTCTGGTTGTGCCTTTGCTAACTGAACTGCCCTTCTCATTATTATTTCATTATCATACACTAATTTCTGCTGGTAATTGTTACCCTTTTTCTTATACGCACCCTAAATTCTCTATCTCTTCACGTTCTCATTGTTATTGTGTAGCGTATATGTATTTGGTGCCCCTTTGTACCAAAGTTTATGCGTTCAAATAAAAATATACATAATGTATGAAAATGTAAGACACCTAGAACACAGCTTTTAGACGCTCAACTAAGTACTAGTTCGCATGATGAACATTTGAAATTGAACCTGCTTTCAGTCTATGATCAATCGGAATGATTACAATCTGTCAATGGTTCCCAAAAATATTTCGCTTGAAGCCAAATATAAAAATCTGAGATTTTAGTGCTGTTACTTATGGCTCGCTTTAACTGTATAGGAAAGACTAGTTGTTGCAAAAGTTCATTATTCAGATCGTTGTACAGAACAGTTGGAGAGTGCATCTCTAATTCTTTATGAACAAAGTTTTTAGCTTATAATATGGAATAATCAGAAACATAATGCTTACGCAAAATATGTAAGTAAATAAATACTCACATTATAATGTTTCGAAATTGAGAAGATATTTTTGGCCAACTCTTTGCAATCCAACTAAAGATATTACATCAACTTCTTTAGCCTTTGATATGACTCAAATTTGGATGAACGTATGAATATACTATAAACATGCAATTAAGTCCGTATATTACCTAGGCTTACTCCGTTTGTGTGAAAGCGGTAATAAAAATCCAAATACGAGTGGCGTTGAATGAATTTATCTCAAACACTCGTGTACGCAGGCAGACAATCAGAACAAGAAGCGACGCCGAGAGGAGGAGGCGGATGAGCCAACTTGATTGGATAAAGTAAGGCTCAACACTTATAGCCAGGCAAAAATAAGCCACATACATGCGATGAGTATGGTAAGCGTTGTACACACGAATGCTGATGTAAAGACAGTCAAGCAAATAATTGACAAGGTCAAGATGTGACTCAAACAGGATGAACAAGCTGGTATATCTAGAAGCTAAAACAGCCCATATGAGATTGACATGGCATTAGACAACAATGGACTATCTTATCAATTATTTTATTACACAGAAAAACTTCGGTTCAGTTTCTGCAGCCAAATGGAGGATTTCTAACTCGTTCAGTGTTCCACCTTCTTATTCTTATAATCTGTAGCGTGGCGTCGAGTTGAGATTAACTATGAACACCGCTACCAAGAAACACGTGCCAAATAGATCAGAAGGCGTAAGAAGCTCGTTCCAAATGACTCCATAAAATCCCCGAGAAGCCAAATATCAGAAGGCAGTTAATGGACCAAGTCGAGGTTTATTTGCTGGCGATCTCGTGGCATCGAAAGGATACCGAGATCGTGCCAGGATACAACCTTGGTTACAGAAGGTAACCGAATTCGCGCGAAGTTACAATCAAAGTGTAAGTAAAGAATGGAAGCACAAAATAGCTGTCATTAGCACAGTCAAACAAAAGCACGTTAAAACAAACACTGGTACAGTTGGTTATAATAATAATTGTTTTTATTAAACCAGTCGTGTTCTCGTGATAAATGTGAGTCACTACAGGAGCCCCCCGCTAGAAAGGGTTTACACTTTCGATAAATAGCGGTTTGAATCGTGGGACTGATCGGCTGACGAGCGATTGTAGGACGGAAGAATTGGCGAACAGGAAAGCGATCGTTGATCGTCGAGTTGCCAACGAAGGTCGTTTTCGGAGAACGGTACCAGGAGCGATGTGCTGTATTTATTGCTTGAGTTGGCATGCTACACGAGAGTGGTTTGTATCCAGAATCTGAAGAGGGCGTTCGTAGGGGTCCGGACCAGAAACGCTGCAGACGTAGGACGAAACCACGTTGAGCCAAAAGACCAGAAGCGACCATAACGACCAAGTTCGAGACCAAGCGTATGCCAAGCATTCGAAACCAAATATCGACTGAGTGCGTTGACAAGAGCATGGGTGGCCAGTCCAGCTTTCGCCAAAGTTGACTGAAGTCGACGGAACCAAACGGAGATGGTCGAAGGCGTGGGCTCAGGAAACAAAAAGAAAATCAAAAAAGAGAAGAGTGTAGCATGCGTGTAGTATAGGAATAATCCTACACCGTATCGGTTGTTGACTGTGCGACTAGTCGCGGAAGCGTACGGGTAACCGTACTCGGCGACCGGAACGTGAGACGGTAGTCTCGTTCGCGTCGCGTGAGCCTGCAATCTCATCCGAAGTCAAGGGCGGCGTGGTCTGCTGATCTGGACGTGAGACTGTCGTCTCGTCCGTAGACGGTGCAGATGACGCGTGCTGTTGACTGGGACGTGAGAATGAGGTCTCAGATGTATCTAGCGTGGGACCTGAAGATGGTTTGAGGATCCCGCTAGTAGGTTTGCTAGGTCTAGCATTGAATCTCAGGTTATCAGATAGGGCACTGTCATCGACGTGTGCTGGTTTGAGACGATCAATGCTGACGATCTCGACGCGTCCATATCGATCAACCTTGAAGGTCTTTTCGTGACGAGCGATCACGTGAAAAGGGCCTTCGTAAGGTTGTTGCCAAGGTTTGCGTACCGAATCTACTCGTACAAAAACATGTGAACAGGTAGATAACTCTCGAGGGAGAGCGACCTGTCGATGTTGTATTCGAGTTGACACCGGAGACAGCGTTCGCATAAATGCAGACAGTCGATGGACGTAGTCTGATTTACCGAAATTAGGTCTGCTCCGTGGTGTGAAGAATTCTCCGGGCAGACGCAATGTCGTGCCGTATACAAGTTCAGGGCGGAACATTGGATATCTGCCTTTAAGCTCGTTCTCATCCCTAAAAGAACGAGCGGTAAGGTTTCGTGCCAGTTGCCGTTTTCGTGTGCTCGTAGAACACTTTTAAGTTGGCAGTGAAACCGTTTACTTAACCATTTGGTGCTGGGTGGTAGACGGATATGCTTATGCGTATGCATTCCGTACCAAGCAGCCGGGTCAGCGAGGAGAATCGTTAATAGGGTAACATTTCTCGAATAAAGCGTGGAATTCATCATCACGCGAATAAAAAGTGACAAGGATTCGGTACACATACGTGTGAGTCTATTATATTAATACTATTCTTATCGTTATCCGTCATGTCGCGTATATTATATATTAAAAAATATGAAAATATACGACAGACGTGGATAGATAAATCATAGACTCACCGAATTGGCTTCTTTGGAAGATTTGATCAGAAGTTGAGGCGTGTTCCAAAATACGGGTCACCAATTGTAGTCTTGGGATTACCAATTGTAGCGTGGCGTCGAGTTGAGATTAACTATGAACACCGCTACCAAGAAACACGTGCCAAATAGATCAGAAGGCGTAAGAAGCTCGTTCCAAATGACTCCATAAAATCCCCGAGAAGCCAAATATCAGAAGGCAGTTAATGGACCAAGTCGAGGTTTATTTGCTGGCGATCTCGTGGCATCGAAAGGATACCGAGATCGTGCCAGGATACAACCTTGGTTACAGAAGGTAACCGAATTCGCGCGAAGTTACAATCAAAGTGTAAGTACAAGAATGGAAGCACAAAATAGCTGTCATTAGCACAGTCAAACAAAAGCACGTTAAAACAAACACTGGTACAGTTGGTTATAATAATAATTGTTTTTATTAAACCAGTCGTGTTCTCGTGATAAACGTGAGTCACTACAAATCAGTGGCAACTCCTGCCCAGTCAGTATTCAGAGATAATATATGAATCTCATATACTTCACTAGCTTGTTGTTTTGGCAGCGTTCACCTTCTTCCCATAAATTATCGT